GCAATGGCAACCCACTCCAGTACTCTCGCCTGGAAAATCCCATGGACGGAGGAGCCTGGTAGGCTGCAGTCCATGGGGTCGCTAAGAGTCGGACACGACTGAAGCGACTTAGCAGCAGCAGCAGCAGCCAGGCAGGGTGCAGAGTGCTGAAGGGTCCCTTCCTTCCTGTTTCCTCTTTTAGGAACAGTCTAGTCCTTTCTGTTTGTCTTCCAGAAAATGTGACCTGTCACTTTCAGTGAGGTCTTTTTTTACGGACTCTCATGTCTCACTTTTGGGGAGCATTTACCTGTTTCTCATTATTGCTGGTGCTCAGTCGCTAGATCGTGCCCGACTCTCTGCAACCCCACGCGCTGCAGCACACCAGGCTCCCCTGTCCTCCACTGTCCCCCAGACTTTGCTCAAATTCACGTCCATTGCGTCAGCGATGCTATGTATCACTGACCATCTCATCCTCTGCCACACCCCCCTCCTTTTTCCTTCAGTCTTTCGCAGCACCAGGATCTTGTGCCGTGAGTCAGCTCTTGGCACCAGGTGGACAAAGTATTGAGCATCAGCTTCACCACCTTCCAAACTTGCCTTTTAACCTAAAAACACAGTTGTCTCGGTAACCTTGACATTGCACCCGTACGACGATGCTGTGTCAGTCATCCCAGGGACGCTGCTGTTTCTCAAGCAGCTTTGCCTCTCCTCCTCAGCTTCTTCTGTGTGAATAAAGCCCTCCAGATGGTTGTTTGTTCATTTTGTTTTGTCTTTTGCCAAAATGCTTTATGAGTTTCCTACATCCTAACATTTCAAAACCTTTTTTCTTGAAAAGCATGTGATCCTTTGTGAAGCCTTCAAATAGTCCACGACCCATGCATCTGTGTCAAAATCAGGCATGGAATCAATGAATGCATTAAAACAAATTAGCCTGGTGACCATTGGCTCTGTTGCTTTAGGGTAGATGTTTAAAATATCAACCTCAACTGACCAGGGTCACCTTTGGCTTCTAAAATTGATCTTTATTTAAGGTTCTACAAAAGAAATATCTTTCCCTGATGTTGAGAAAGATCGAAGGCAAAAGGAGAAGAGGGTGGCAGAGAATGAGATGGTCAGATAGCATCACCGACTCAATGGACAGTCGCAAGGACTTAGCGAGTGAACAACAGGACCACAAAAGAAACATAGCTATAGATTAAATATTTGGACTCAACAGTTGCAAATAAGACTTTTGGAGAGAGAGGGAGGTTTTATTTAAAGTTCAATCAAACAGACTAAACACACTCCTTAGGCTTAGGGTTGGCTGGGTAATCCCCTTGGTCCCCCAGGTGCTCTAAGGCACTAATAACATCACAAAATGCAAGAAAGAGCCGGGTTTTGGAGACAGGCTGCCCAGGGCTGCCCGGACCCTGGCACTTGTCCCGTCCTCACTCCGTTCCTTGGGGTGATGTGGAGGTGGGTTGGCGCCCACCTTACATCACACCCAGGACAAGGGTCCCGCGGCCCAGCCCCCCAGATACCTGGGGGCAGGCAGAGGAGGGGTTACCTCTGGGGGCCGCGGGAGCTCACTGGGCACCACGTGGCCCCAAAGAGCACAGCTGTGGCCCGCGGGAGCTGCCAGTGCCGACCCTGAGATGCTCTGAGCCTCTGACACGGGGCCCAGGAGAAGGCTCTGCCTGAGGCCATGGGCTGACGGTCAGGTCGCCCAGCCTGGCTGGCCCCTGGCACCGTGCCTCCCCCACCCGGATCTCTCTCCTCTTCGCAACAGGCTTTTGACTCAGGGTGCGGGATGGGGGCTACTCAGAGCTGCCCAGCCCGGAGGGAGGTGGACAATGGCTGGAACAGCCTCTGAAGCCCCCGTCCAGGCCAGAGCCCCCACAGGGACAAGTCGGTGTGGAGGGAGGGAACCCAGGGCAAAACCTGCCCGTGGAGAGAAAGGGGAAGAAGAGGGGCTCCTGAAGCTCCCCAGCTCCCCCGTCATCCGGGGCCCCATCCGGGTCAGCCCAGAGCTGCCAGGACTGCGACCCGCAAGGAGGCCACAGGTCAGACAGCTTCAGCCAGAACCGCCAGCGGCATCATGACTGCAGAGCCTTGATTTTAAAAGTCGCGCTACTGTTTCCTTTGATGTTTCTTGACAGAATCCAACAGGAGGTTCCTGAAAATCTGTTCGTTTTAATCTTTTGGTGGAGGAGATGGGGGGAGGTGAAATGGAAAGTAACATATCACCGTAGAAGGATATGGCTTTGCTGGTGACTCAGCCGCTAAAGAATCCGCCTGCAGTGTGGGAGGCCTGGGTTCGATCCCTGGGTTGGGAAGATCCCCGGGAGAAGGGAAGGCCGCCCACTCCAGTGTTCTGGCCTGGGGAATCCTATGGACCACATGGTCCACGGGTCGCAAAGAGTCAGACAGGACTGAGCGACTTTCACTTTCACTCGCGGAAAGACACCCGGAGGGAGGGAGAGAGGACGGGCAGAAGGGCTTGCGAGTTTGCCTTTTGTTGCGTTTGGCTCTAAGTCCTCAGGGCGTCCCGCGTGGCTCAGTGGTGGCGAACCTGCCTGCCGTGCAGGAGACATAAAGGATGTGGGCTTGCTCCCTGAGTCGGGAAGATCCCCCGGAGGAGGGCATGGCAGCCCCTCCAGCGTTCTCGACGGGAAGGTCCAGGGACAGAGCGGCCTGGTGGGCGTCACAGTCTGACACGACTTAATGACGCAGCAACAACGATTCCCTCAATACCTACTTTGTTGGAAGTCTTTTCCATGAATGTATTAATAAGTTGCAGTTTTTTCAGAAGCTTTTTTTTCGGTGCCTGGAACTTTTTACTCACTGAATGTCACCACCCAGACTTTCCCCCTGGGTGGATCCCACATTTATTTATTTCCCCGTTTTCCTGGTGATGTGCCTGCAGCCTGGTTGTGTTTTTCCCTTAAATCTTCATTGAGGTATAATTCACATACCATGCAAATCACTCATTTAAAACGCTCATCTCGGTGGTTCTCAGTGCAGTTACAGATGTGTTCACCCGTCACCACAGACAAGCTCATACTGTTCTCAACATCTCAGAAAGAAGTCTCAGTAATTCCCCCCAGTCCCCTGCCCTGAGCAACGGCTAACCTACTCTCTGTCCCTGCAGATTTCCCCACTCTGGACGCTCTTAAAAATGGAATCGTATCCTATACAACCGGCTGCTCTCCGTCAGCTTGTTTTCCAGGCTCAGCCAGGCTCTAGGATGTGGCCGTTTCTTCATTCCTTTCTCCGGCCATATAATATTCCATCGTATGGAAACAGCTCGCTTGATTCAAGCTTTCATCAGCTGATGGATACTGGGGCTGTTCCCGCGGTCCGGCAGTTAGGGGTAGTTCAGAACGCTCACCCAGTGTTTGCGTGAAGCCGAGTCTCCATCTCAGGAGAGGAACTTCTGGGTCTCACGAGCTCTGGGTTTGACTGAGAGGCCACCAGACCGTTTCCCAGAGCAGCTGCCCCATTTCACCTCCTCTCAGAAGTAAAGCATAACTGGGCATCTGCTTCTTTAAGTCCACTAGAGACCCCAAATTGTTCGCAAGGTTGCTGCGGCACCCCCAAGGTCAGCCCCGCTGACAGGGCAGCGGGAGAAAGTATCACAGCCTCACTGCGAAGTGGCGTCACCGGGCGTGAACTTCTGACCTCCACGGGCGGGCATCCGGCACTTACTAAGTTGGACTTGAAAGTGAAAGTGAAAATCGCTCAGTCGGGTCTGACTCTTTGCGACCCCATGGACTATAGAGTCCATGGGATTCTCCAGGCCAGAATACTGGAGTGGGTAGCCTTTCTCTTCTCCAGCGGATATTCCCGATCGAGGAATCGAACCGGAGTCTCCTGCATTGCAGGCGGATTCTTGACCAGCTGAGCTGACTTCCCAGATTCCCTGATTCCCAGGACAGGGCCATGGGAAAGCAGCAGCGTGCAGCTGTCCTGACCTATTGAACTCGTCGTTCCAAAGGGTTCGACCTCACAGGAAGATCGAGCTTCCTTTCACAGAATGAGTTCCCTTATTTCCCTGTTTCGTCCGCGTAGATTTCCTCTGCTGTGGACCTCCTGTTCACATAGTTTGCCAATTCCCCGCTTTTATAAGGAGGGGGGTCTCATCCCTACTGATCCAGGGGTGTATGGATACCATTTATGCATTCTGGATATGCATTCTTTATTGCATGTCTGATGGAAACACCTTCAGTTGTTCTGAGGCTTGCCTTTTCACTCTGCTCATGGTATTGCTTGTAAATGAGTTCATCTCTACCATTTTTCTAGACTCCACACTGGAGTATATCGTTTGTGAGCGATGTGATGTCACAATCCGGTTCTCTCTTTTCCGCCCCAGTAACAGTTATCTCAGCCCCATTTGCTGTCTGGGTTCCCCTGAAGACCACCCACCCCTCTGCCACTGGGTGAGCCTCCCTGGGGGAGCAGACCTGGCTTCGGCTTTCCGACTCCGTTCCACTGGCCCCAATCTCCCTTATCTGGCTCTCACTTTATAAGACTCACCAGTTGAAAATGCAAGTAACATCACCTCTTTCTTCAGACTCATTTGGTTATATTCCAACCCTGGTCCTTACTCAGCAACGCCCATGGTAGAACCAGCTTATCAAACGTCATTAAAACAAATGCACACAGGCCTTGTTGAGATTGCGCTGGCATTCCGAGGAATCAAAACACGAAGTGAGGACAAATGACATCTGGAGGACGCTGCAGATCCCACCCGGGAGTCCGGGTCACTGCCTCGGTCCCTTTTCCCAGCTGTTTTCCCAGAACTTCCTCCGGGGCTGCACCAAAAGTTATATAAGCAATCCTTCCCTGATGAGCGCTCAGCTGGGGTTCAGGGTTTTCTACTGTAAACAATGCCACAATGAGAGGTTCCAGGCGTGCCTCTTGGAATCGGCGTGAGAGGGCGGGGCTGGGACGCACCCTGGAGGTGGGCTCGCCAGGCCATACAGGGGCGCCTGGCATGGGGACGGGCGCCAGGTTTCCTTCTGGAAAGGCTGCACCGGTTTATGGGGAGGGACCAGTCCTCACGGGTGCGTAGTGGGCTCAAGGGCGTGGGGTTAGGTTCATCCTGACCCCGTTCACAGGTTGGCAAAGGTGGAGGTGCCCTGCCATGCGTCCATGGCAGCAGAAAGACCCCACGCTCTGTGGTCCCTCTGCTCGTCTCACTGACCCGGGCTCAGAGGACAGCGGCTGGTGGGGGGTCTCCTCCTTCAGCCTCTCCGCAGAGCCTGAGTGAGGACCCCCCAAGCCAGAGTCTGTGGAGCTCATCTGAGCAGGTCCATGGGTGTGAACTCTGCAAGGGAGAGTGAGGAGGCCAACAGTTCACACTGCATCCCCCAGAGCTATGGCCATGCCCGGGACCAGGAAACACGCGGAAGCTGATTAGGTTCCAGACGTTCCTGCTGTGACCACCGTTTCATCTTTGTGCCGCCTGGCAGAGATGTCCCTGCTCCTGAGAGCAGGCTGCACCCCAATCACATCCTGTGTGTACCTTCTCCTCCTCCCAGAGGCCCCTGAGGATACCTGACACCCATTAAGCAGGGAGAACCCTCCCCTGGGAGCTGGCTTTGTGCCCCAGGGATAGCCTGCCCCACAAGGAGCTTCCCCCACCAGCCTGACCTTCAGCCAGAACACGGACGTTCCTGGGTACCACCTTGGCCATGTTTCATGAGTCAGCATGCTCACGGGGCCAGCCTGGATTCAGGGGATGGGAAAGGGACTCTACCTCTTGACATCAGCATGCCGAAGACAGGGACGTTGCCACCCCAGACCCTGGCTGCAGCATCAGTGTCACCTGTAACGGAGGCCACTGCCAGGGTTGACTCTGCGCTCGGCATTGGGCACCTACCCTCCCAGGTACATATTTTGTTCCCATTTCATGGAACGGTAAACTGAGGTTCCTTATATCTAATGAATAGCAGCACCAGGTTTGAACCTTCTTCCATCTTGTTCTCAAGATCTTACTCTTTCTACCAAGCCAGGAAGCTTTGTGGAGACAAAACCATGAGGGGCTTCCTTCAATTCTTTGCTAGGATTTTTTTTTAAGGTCATTCGAATTTCTTCATCTCTCCCATAGTCCTTAATGTCTTAAATTATTCTAATTTTGAAAGATATAAATGAGTATATATAAACGAGTATAGACATTACTATAAAGCAAACAGCGATGTATCCACCACGCAGGTCAAGACAAAGGCGGCTGCCACCAGCCAGGTGCCTCCCCCGTGACCTTTTGAGCTGCCCGCCCCTCCCCGGGCTCTTCGGAGATAACCACCACCCTGACTTTCATGGCGAGGGCTTCCTTCTTTTTCTTTTTAGTTCTACTATCTAATTATGCCGCCCTAACAATATAGTTGAGTTTTGTCTGTGTTTTAACGTTATATAAATGGAATTGTACAGTAAGTATTCTTTCATGTCTGGGTTTTTTCTCCCTCAAAATTATGTTTGTAGGTTGATCCGTGTTGTTTCATGGAGCGCAGTTTGTGTGTGTGGACGTGTGGGTTTTGTGGGTCTGGGTTTTGTTGTCCCTGGCTTCCTGCACTGTACGCAATTTCCCTGCATGAAGACGCCACACATTACTGTTTCTGTCTTGACGAGTGTTTGCACACGAGCCCGGGCTCCGTTGAGATGCTTTTCCAGGGATGGGACCCCTGGCTCAAGGGAAGCCACCCCTCCAGGTCTACCAGGCCACACCCCCCTGTTCTCCCATCCCACTCCCACCGGCACAGCTCACACTTCCCAGAGCTTTGCACTCTTGCCAGCACCTGATATTGACAGAGTTCGTATTTTCATTTTCCTCTGTCTGGTGGGACCTTGGGATACCTCGCTGTGATTCATACTCCGCAGCATTGTAAAGCCCGCGGGCACGATGGATGAGTGACAGCCCTAAAGAGTGATGATGACACCCCACCCCTGGCGTCTAGACGCACACATGGCTCCAGGGCTCCTTCCCCATCGCGTTCTGCTTTCATTCCTATTATTTTTACCGCAACAGTCGCAGCAAAGCTGGGGCCCAGCAGCACCTGCTATCTTGGATGATGAGCTTGCAAAGCCTGGGGAGGCCACAAGTTCCCCCAGGGCCAGCCAGTTGCAGCCCCGAGCTCTGTTCCCCTGCCCGCTGCCTCCCACAGTCCTGCGGGCTGAGCAGGGTGGGCGGGCCACACCGCCCACGATGCAGGTGGGGGCAGGAGCTGCGTCCGGGGTCCCGTGCACCTGGCTGGCAACCTTTCACCCAGGTCTCCACTCGAGAGCAGGGGCTTTGGCGAGAGGCTCGGATGAAGCAGGAGTCAGGTGCGGCCTTACGTTGGTTCACCCCTTCAGTCCAGCTTTATCCTGTGCCATCCATCAGACAAGGATGACTGACTGCACTGCGAGCCAGGCTGTTCTGTGCATCCCCTCCTCTCCGCAGTGAAGCTGGGAAGGGGAGACTGGCCAGCCCGCGGACACTCATGTGGCCCCTCCCACCTGCGGCAGCTCCCCCACGCACTTCCCCACCGGAGCCAGCGTGGGGCTGCCCTCGGGGTTCTCCTGACAGTAGCACGCGTCTCAGCAGCATCCTCCAGGGAACCCGGGAGACGGGGTGTGACTCACGAGTCCTGGAGGGTCTGCAGCAGGCCCGGGGCTGCAGCAAGGGCCAGGTAGAGAGCACGTGGACTGGGGCTCTGCCTTTTGGGGAGTCCAGGGTGGAGTGCCTGGGCTTCACGGTCACCCTTTATTTGTCATTCAGTGGCTCAGTCGTGTCCGTCTCTTTGTGACCCCATGGACTACAGCACGCCAGGCCTCCCTGTCCTTCCCCATCTCCTGGAGTTTGCTCAAACTCGTGTCCATTGAGTCGGTGATGCCATCCAACCATCTCATCCTCTGCCGTCCCCTTCTACTCAGGCCTTCAATCTTTCCCAACATCAGGTCTTTTCCAATGAGTCTTCACTGGCGAATTTTAAATCTAAGTGTGGGAATTAAGGTTCAGGAAGGGAAAAGCAGGGTCATTCAAAGGTCAGATATGTCACCCTGGATTTCCTAGAAGGATATTGTGTGAGTGGAGCAGCGCAGCGGGTGGTCTGGTTGCACAGCCAAGAAGGTGTCTGCTGGGCCTGCATGCCTCTCAAGTGGATGTCCAGGCAATCAAAACCTTCCCGCCAGACACCGGCCCCACAAAGGTGTGTCCTCAGTGTCCACCCCATGCGAGCTCACTTCACCCTTAGGCAACACAGTGAGTGAGGGACAGCAAGCTTGTCTTTGGGCAGGTGAAAACATCGGCACAGAGAGTTTCAGTGAGTTCCCCAAGGTCACACAGCAAACAGACGGTGGAGCTGGGATCACGCCTGGGTTCTCTGTGTATCCCGGGCACACAGAAGCACTGGCCTGTGCCCGTCCACTCACCCTGGGCTCAGGGTGCCTGGAAATGACCCCAGTCCCCACCCCCTGGAAGAATGCATGCTGCCCAATTTCAAGACACATTCCAGAGCTGGAAACCACGTGGTAGAAGAAAGGATAGACAGAGGGATCCGTGGAGTGAGACCGAAGGCCAGGAAGAGAGGCACAAACATCCCTGACTGCTTTGTGCAAAAAAAAAGGAGAGACAAGGCTAATGACTAAATGGAGCAATGTTAAATAAGGTGAAAAAAATTATACCCAGAATATTAGAAATTATCATTTAAACTAATATATTTGCCAAAAAAGATTAATACAGAAGCCAGAGCTTTTGCTTTGTTCAAGATACATTTATTTTAAAGATCCTGTAAATTGATTAAATGAGAATTTCATAAGAAAAAAAACCTTTTAGAATAGTTCTGAATTTACAGAAAAATTGCAAAGCTAGTACAGAGTTCCCACCCAACTGTACCCCCAGCACCCGGTCTCTCCCACTGTCAGCATCTTACGTTACTTTGTTAGTACATTTGTCAAAACTAAGAAGCGACACTGGAACATTTGTACCTACACTGGTCTGGACTCTGTAGTGAAACTCCATTTTATTCAGAGTCCACCACTTTTTCCCTAACGTCCTTTTTTGTTCCAGGATCTCATCCAGGACATCAGTTGCATTTAGTCATGTCTCCTTAACTTCCTCTGGGCTGTGACAGTTTCTCGGACGTTCCTTGTTTTTGATGAACTTGGCAGTTTTGAGGAGGACCAGGCAGGTAATCTGGGGGGAATGCTCTTCAGCTGAGATTTGTTTGGGGTTTTTCTCATGATGGTGCCAGTTTGGGGGGGGGAGACCCCACGGTGAGGTGCCGTCCTCACTGCATCCTCTCAGAGGAGAAGGTCGTCCACACGACTCATCACTCCTGAAGCTGACCTTGAGCCCTGGCTGAGGTCATGGTTGCCTGGCTTCTCCCCCATGCGGCTCCTCTTTTCCCTTCCGTGCTGCCCTCTTAGCAAGGAACTCATGGAGTGCAATCCCTTCCCAGGGCTGGCGAGGAAGAGAGAAAGGTCTGCAGGAATTATTTGGAATCCTGTGAGGAAAGGTGTCTCTTCTCCCACTTACTATTCATTTGTGTCTGTGTGGAGTTGTGGGTATTTATGTTATGATTTTTTTATACTCCAATCCCGTGTGCCTTTCTGCTGTTTTTGTTGCTCCAGTCATACGACTTCAGGAGCTCCTTCCGGCTGACTACCGTGCCCCCTCTGTTTTCTGGATGCATCCGTACCTTCTGTCCCCACAGGAGGTTCCGGCCTCGTGGTGCGTCTCTCCTGCCCCAGCCTTAGATTCGGCTGCTTCCTCCAGAGGAGTCCGTCTTCCTTTCATGGGAGGATGGTGTTAGAAGCCAAGACCCAGGCACTGGATGCGCTCGCCACTACTGGGGCATCACTGCTGTCACTCATCTCAGCCGACAGAGCTGGGAAGTCCATGTGTGTGCCCTCAGCTGCAGACACAAACACGCCTGTGACTACTCCCGCGTCTGTCCACCTCTATCTACATTACGCTAACCTGAGTCCGTTCTCACGTCTCTGACTTTGATCCGGGACTGCTCAGCCTTGCTAACTCTCCCCCTTTGCTCGGGTGTAACCTCCCCCTCCAGCAGTGAGAGGCCGAGATCCCACCGCTGCCTGACACCCACTTATCTGCCCCCTCCCCATGTGGCTGCACACACCCCCTCAGAGCTGTTGACCCAGGTCCCTGCAAGGAACAGTGTGGCCAAAGCAGTGGCACAGCGTTACGCACAGTTCCTTTCATCTTTCACAGTTTCTGATCAAAACACAGTTTTCCATAATCGCTTAGGTCAGCTTCTTCTCCGCGTCCCCTTGAGAGATGTTATATCCTACGTGTATCACACACGTGGCATCTTCTGCCACAGTCTGCCTTTTAACCCGGGGGTCCCTTCAGCTCTTGGTTGATTTTTCAGAACTTTATGTATTAAAGTTCATGCCTTGTGCTGGCAAGCTGTATGAGATCCGACAAATGCATAGCATCCTGTGTTCACTGGCCAGTGCCACGCAGAGTGACTCCACCCCAAAATTCCTCTGTGTCTCTCCCCCACAGCCAGCCCCTGGCCACCACTGATCTGTTTCCTATCTTTACAGTCCTGCCTTTTCCAGAACGTCATATCAATGGAATCCTACCATATGCAGGCTTTCTGGTCTGGCTTCCTTCACTTAGCAGAATGCACTTAAGCTTCACGGCGATGCTGCAGGAATTAGCAGCGCTTTCCTTTTTCTTTGTCGATGGCGTGCCATCCTCCAGAAGCACCGCCGTTTGCTTATTCACCTGTTGAAGGATGTCACGGTTGTCTCTGGTTTTGGGTGATTCTGACTCACGCTGCTTAAAGGTTATGAGGATTTTCCATGAGCATGAGTTTTCAACTTGCGTGGGAAACCACATAGGAGTATGATTATAAACCCCACGGTAGGTCTTCGTTTAACTCCAGGAGAAACTGCCAAACCACCTTCCGAAGTGGCTGGACCGCCTTCCACGCCACTGGCCCCAGAGCAGCACTCCTGCTGGGTCACACCTCGCCGTGTGCTGGTTTGCCACCTACCTTCTCTGGTGAAGTGTGTGTTCAGATTTTTACTCATTTTTTCGTTGGGTTGTTTTCTTATCATTGAGCTTGGAGGGCTCTTAACATATTCTAAACACGGATCCTTTATTGATATAAGATTTGCAAATATTTATCGCCATCTGTGGTTTGTCTTCTCTCCAGATAGTCAGAGCTTGCTTTTTTCCCAACAATAATCTTAATTTTCCATGTGTAGAGCCTACACATATTTTGTTAAGCTTATGCCTATGGAATTCATTGTTCTTTGGCTGTGCAACTGATTTCTGACAATAATGAAAAGGCAGTGCAGCGGAGAAAGAAGAGTCTTCTGAACAATCGTTTCTGTAACCATTGGTCATCTATGTCAAAACTAAAAACAACTTCAACACACACCTCTGACTAAACAAAACAAAGTGAGGAGGATCTGAAATTGCACACAAACCAGCTCTCCCCTTGGTCTCGGCCACCAGGGACCCAGCTGGCACAGGAGCCAGTGCCTAGGGTTTGAATCCAAGCTCTGCCATTTCCTAGGCGCTTGAGACTGGGGTGAGTGGCTTCAGTGCCTCTGTCTCAGTTTCCCCAACTGCAAAGTGAGGATTATAACACAGCTGCCAGACCTCCCGAGTGGTCCAGTGGTAAAGAGTCTGCCTTGCCATGTCGGGGGTGAGGGTTCAATCCCTGGTCAGGGAACCAAGATCCCACATGCTGCTGAGCAAGCAAGCCCGTGTACCACAGCAGCCAAGTAAATAAGCACTAGAAAATAATAACAATACAGCTGCCTGCTAGGTTGTCACAGGGAGGCCATGAGCTAAAACACAAGGTGCTCTAGAACAACGTCTGCTGCACACTGAAGCTGAATGTCGTCCGCTCTCCTGTGGAGGTCACAGCAACCGAATCCACCCCAGAGGCTCCTGCACCCACAGCCCTGCCCCTCCCTGCGAGAGGTCCTACCCTAGGGTCTCCACGGGTCCTTCCGTGTTTTGGGTGGGCTCTGTCCCTGGATCTCAGTGATCTGCCTCCAGCCCGGAGTCGCCTGTAGGACTTGACCCAAAGCTACAACCCAGTGCCTGGATCCTACTGAGCCGTGCTGGGATCTGGGCAGACCTGGGACGTCCCGTGGAGGTGGATTCCGCCTGCAGGCAGCATTACTGTGTTGTCTTGGCCAGGGAGTCTAAGTTCAAAGGCCCCGTGGCTGCCAGGGTCGCACAGCTCTAGCAGTGAGTGAGGACTTGTACCCAAGGGGCCCGATGCCATCGCTGGGCCCTCACCCCCTGGACGGTGCTGCCGACTTCTGTGGCTCGCTTGCTCATCAACACCCAGGGGCCAGCTCTGCACCGGAGACCTCGGCTGGGACGCAAGTGGAGGAGGACAGAGGACCCACGTTACAGGGGACACCGCAAACCTTTCCAGCCCTTCACCTCTTCCAACACGTTCCTCTCATTGTCCACCGGCCTTGAACTCATCCCCCTGCCCCAGGGGAGCCGCACAGACAGAAACGTGAGGGGACCCGATGGTGCTTGGCCGGTGGAGACCGGCCCTGTGCCCGCCGGGCACAGGTGGGCTCTGGGGATTCGCAGGGGGAGGCGACTTTGCCTTTGACAAGCTCCTCGCTCCCACACACGGGTCCCCGTCCCCCACACACATCTGCTGGCCAAGTGGCCGCTCCGGGGCGCTGATTGGCCGGGCAGGGGTTCTGAATCACAGTGCGTGAGGAGCACAGCACAGCTCCAGCTCACTTCCTGCCGATTAGAACATTTCCCCCCGGGGGGATTCCTGAGCCCCCAGCATTCTGGCGTCAATCTGTTTCTCTACAGACGGCACATTGCAGGCAGACACACAACGTATAGGATCAGCCAGGCCATCTGGGCCAGAGACTCCAGGGCGCAGGGCTGACGTGGTCCGGGCGGCCCCACCCCCGGCCAGCCTGGCGCTTGCTCTCCGAGGCACCGTCCAGCCCCCGTCGGGGAGAGACCGTTCGCTCCCAGCTCCCGCCCCAGGCATTCCAGAAAGCTTGGCAGGAATCCACGCGGGCACGGAGCCCAGTGCTGAAGAGGGGGCTGCGGCCTCAGGCAAGCCTGGACTCAACCCTGCTCTCCCCCGACTCCCCGTCCAGTCCCGGGTAGAGGCCACTGGCCCGTGTTTCCATGTGTAAAGCGGGGTGCTCAGAACCGCCCGGCCTGCCGGGAGGACCCAGTGACCCTGGCGCTGGTGATGCTGCCCGGTTCCCTGCCCACACCCCGGCCCCTGCCCCTGGCGCCTGACGCTGTGATGTCCTCAGGACGCATGCTCAGCAGGTGCCCCCAAAACGCCCCCACTGCCCACCCAGGCTGCTCGCCCAGATGTCGGGCTTTGCCTCGTGAGACCCGAAGCTCTCCGAGGAAGGAGCCTCTCCCGGAAGCACCCAAAAAGACGGCGGCCCGGCTGGGGAGACCTCTGACCCCCTATTTCTCTGGAGTCAGAGCTGCCCCACTGGGAGAACCTGGGGGCCCCGGGGAAGGCCACGCCTGCTCTGGGCCTCACTTGGCCATCTGAAAACCGAGGGGTTGGTTTCATCTGTCTTCCCAGCTGGCCGCCAGTGCCTCACTGCCAGAACGTGGTTAGCAATGTATTAAAGGCTTCAAAATGTCCTCCCCCCTGACCAGTTCTGTAGTCGAGACAGAATATTCCGGTGACCTTCAGCCGTCCTCTTCAATACATTCCCAGGCGCAGCCACACCGGGGTCCCGCACTCCCTCCACCGTCCCTTCATCTGTGCAGTCTTAGCTGTCGGCCTAGAGAGCAGTGCCCACAACTGTGACCAAGGGACGTGGCAGATCCAACACAGGGACGCATGGCCCAGACAGGGCACAGCGCCTGCCCAGCCTCTCAGCAGGGTCGTGGCGGGAGGCGGGCACCAGGCCTGAGTCCTCCTGTCTACACAACATCCCTCAGGTGCCCTCCCAAAGACTCAGGTTTCTCCAACCCACACCGTCAGTAAGTCCCTGTGGCCAATGGACATTCCCCATGACGGTCCATCACTTGGGGACCCCTGAGTCTCCAGGCTTCCCTGGAAAACTGGACCCCGCCAAGTCCCCCCAGCCTAGGCCCCCTGGACCTTGCCGTGTCCCCCCATCCCAGGCCCCCTGGACCCCACTGTGTCCACACCCCAGCCCAGGAACCCTGGACCCCACTGTATCCCCCCAGCCCGGGCCCCCTGGACCCTGCCGTGTGCCCCCAGCCCAGGCAGCCCCATGGGAACCTCTGGCCCAGCAGGAGGATGAGCTCAGCCTGCGCGTCTGTGCTCCAGATGCCCCGTCCCAGGCCTCTCTGATCCCTGCCCGGAGCACACATTCCACGGTGTGTCCTCAGAAGACAAAGGTCACACATCATGTGTGCTTGCTTTCCGTCAGCTCCTCCCAGGGACTGCGCTGGACCCCCGGCCCATAGACGCCACCTTGTGTGCCGCCGCGGAGACCCCACGGGGCCGACAGGACAGCAGGGCGCGGCCACCCCCCACGGGCAGGCAAGAGCGGGGACGGACTGGTGGTGTCCACCCTGCCTTGCATGGAAGCGGGCTCACCTGTGCCTCACCAGGCGCCCCCTGAGCCGGCTCCCAGAGTTTGCAGCTGCCCCCTGACTCGTGGGTGGGGCCCCTCACTCAAGTGAGATGCCTCTGCCAAGGGCAGACCCCGGGTCCATGCGGACGGGACACTGAAGGGTCGTCGCCCAGCCCTCCCCCGGCCGTGGACCCAGCCCACCTACGTGCCCCTCAACGTCCTCCGAGTGGGTGGACGTCCTCTGTGCCCACAGCACTCTGCGTATTCACGGGAAAATGAAACGCCCTCCCTGACCGTCCTCCGTCCCCTCTGTTGGAATGGCTTTGGGCAAGAAAACAGAAGAGGAGGCAAAACCTCTGCCTGGGGGCTCATCAGGGGTTTCGGAGACAACAAAACATCGCCGCCATCCCCAGGGGTGTTTGCATGCTTTCCTGTGAAGATGGAGGGTCCTAGAGCCTTCCAGGGTTGCTGGGAAGCTCCCTGAGGCTCTGGCCGTGCAGCTGGGGGAGCTGGGGTTCCAGGGGCTACCGGGAGGAGAAGGAGCCCAGAGCAGGAAGGGAGAAGCCCACATAGATGCGACCCCTGGGTGAGTCCGTCGAGTCCCAGGGGCTGGGAACCACCCCCTGCATCATCACAGCCCAGAGCCCAGAGGCCTCACAGGAGATCTGAGAGCAAGGTTGGGATGCGGGGTCCTGCCTCTGACACCCCGCCCTCTGCTCCAGCCCCCAGGAAGCAGGGACCCCGGGACAACAGGAAGAAACTGCAGAGGGAAACCGCAGTCCCTGCCTCCCATCTCCAGACCTAACCCGGAGGAGGCCTGGCCCACGACTGCTGGCCTGCCAGGCCGGCCCTGTGCCTGGCACGCAGTGGGCGTTCTAGAAGCGTCTGCTTGGCATCCAGAAGGTCTGGGGGTGAAAGCCGTGGCAGGGAAGGCCCTGAGGGCGTCCTCGGGCAGAGCCCTGCTGTGCCATCTGCGTATGTGTGCTTGTGAGCAGCTGCGAGGCCCCTAGGAGCCAGAGGAGGTGTCCGGGGACCCGTGTCCCGAACCCCACTGCCGTCCAGCCTCTAGGCTCTTCTGGGGCCCGGGAAGCCACTGACGGCCGGGTCGCTGACCGCGGTCAGTGTGGCCGCTGTCCCCGCTGGCAGAAGCCGCCAGGCTCGGTGGTGGCGTTGTGTCCCTCCAGCCCCTGCCCAGTCACTTCCGGTTTCCTGAAAGGAAACCACGCAGGCTGGCCGGGATGAGGCCCCTGTGTTTGCTCAGCAGCCCCGGCAGACCCAGGACCTGACCCTCGCTGCTGCTTGGGCGCTGAGTTTCTCCTTTGGGAAGTTTACCAAGAGCCTGTGGCAAGGCCTCTGAAACACGCGGCCCTGTCTCTCTGGATGGTGCGGTCCGGGAAGCCTGGCTGCAGGGACGTGGGTGCGGGTGGGTCAAACCTCCGTATTCTGGCCTGCGTACAGGATTAACAGGGCCCCGCAGACCCGGCGGGAGAAGGCATGTGAAAGGCTGGCGGTGGCCCCCAGCCGGCACTGGTGGGCCCTTCGCGGCCGGGTGGACCGTCTCTGGTCACAGCAAGCAGGTTCCCGGGGAGAACACCCTGGGGGCATTCTCCTTGACATCCCGCCCCTCAGCTCCTGAAAGACCCTCCACCTCTCCAGGGGTCCTGCCCCCGCCTGCCCAGCCCGCTGCCCCAGGGACGCCCATCCAGGCCCCGCCCCTCGCCCCCTTTCACTCCACTCAGCCGTCCAGGCTTCCCCTCTGTTTGCCATTTCAATCATCTCAGGGCAATTTCCTCTCTCGTCTGAGCACTGATTCCTCTCCAGATGGCTTCCTCCCCGACTCCCTCAACCAGGGTCTCGGGCCAAACCCCAGGGCTGGGGGTGGGGAGGCCCCCGCAGAGGGCGGCGGTGGGCAGGCAGGCGGCCGCACTCGCTGGGAAAGGCCGTTCCCTGCAGAAGGACCGCAGAGCACGGCTCGGGCTCGTCCCACCACACTGTGCGCGGTGGCCGCAGATATGCCATGAAGCACATTTTTAGACTGTGAGTCAACTGCTAATAGAGTGATTTTTTTAATCATCCCAGAAGGAAGGCTGATTTACAGTTCTTCTGTGCTGGGGCTGAGTCGTCAGGGAGGGGCTTTCAAAGTGGCTCAGCGGAGGCAGGGGCCAGGGCCCCCCAGACCAACCACCAGAGGCGGGGCTGCGGGGGGGCTGGTCAGAGAAGGGTGTACAGACCTCCTGGCCCATCTCCACGAGAAGGCTTGCTCCCCACGGAGGGCTCGGGTGGGGCCTCCGTCAGCTCTGACACCAGCTTGTTATCACAGTGACCCCAATTTCCCATTACTAGGGGACATAAATCAGTCACGAGAACGGCTTCTCTCAGCCTGTGCCAAGGCCTTGGGTATGGAGGGATGAATACGACAAACCTCTTATGCACAGCAGACAGCTTGTGGGGAGGAAGAACGTTCCAGATCTAAATGACTAAACCGTGGTGGCCGTGTCCCCTCTGAGCCTACAGAAGGGACTGCAGGGGAGAAGGTCCCGTCAGGCCAGGCTGTTCTGAGGCTCAGGACCTCGGGCCGCCCAGAGTTGCTCCCTACATGGTGATCACCACTCGGCAGCCTCGGGCGGGGCCGGGGAGGCTGATGCAACCGGGCCAGGCGGGAGCTCCAGCCGTCCCCTCCCTCCCGGCCAAGTCTGCCTCCCTCACCCGGGCAGGTCGCCCTCTGGCCGTAGGGTTCCTACAGGGCAGCTCCCGGGACCTCCACGGTCTCCACTTGGCAGGGGGACCCGAGACCAGAGCGCTCATGACCCTGCCTTTTCATCTTCCGGGATGACAGAGCCCCATGTCCACCTTCGCTGTAATCTGACAGCGGGTCGTGCCCCTGGCTGTGTGCCTGGGGATGCAGCGTCTCCAGCCTCGGAGCCATCAGCTCCGGAAGCAGGGTCACCGTGCGTCGCCCTCACAGAGGCAGTAGGAGGGTGGAGATGTCCACCCCAGGACAGCAAAGGACAGACCCCCGTCTGTCCGGAGCTCCCAGCAATCTGGACCTCCTGGCTTCTCTGTCCCACAACAGACGCGGCTCTTCCCCCACGGCTCTCCCTGTCCCCCTTGAATCCTCCGCCCGGCCCGAGGCCACCTCTGGTAACTGATCAGGGTGGTTGGTGAAAAACGCTGCCCTACAGTGAGATGGAAGGGAAGCCCAGGAAAGGCAGAGGAGCAAGGCCCTGCCTGAGCCCCCGGAGTCGGTGCTGGAGGGACCCCAGGCCATGGTGGCCCAGGACATCCGGGAAGAGAGGAGCAGAAGGCAGGCTCTGGGGGGGCAGGAGCAGGAAGGTGGGGGGCCCCCAAGCAGAGCAGGACCCCACAGGCAGCAGTGGCCACCACGGAGGCGGAGGATGCTCCCGGATGGGGCACCCGGCCCGTTACCAGGGGGTCATCCCTACCCCCACGCTCTCCCCCTCACCAGTCAAGCTGTTCTGGACACAAAGATGCCCCTGGTCCTGGGAGGAGGGATGGATGAGCACAGAGAAGGCTGGGCCTCGAGGTCCCAGCGCTGGAGTGATCAGGCCAGCGGCCCGCACTGCCGCAGAGGAGGCCAACTTGGGTGGGGACGTGTGAGCACAGGTCCTGGGGGGTGCCCCCACGCCCCCTGTCAGTCTCAGCAGAACCCCAGCTGGCAAGGAAGGGGCGCAGATGGCTCCCCAGTGCTGAACAGGGGCCGTGGCTGAGCCGGGCTGACCCGGAGCTGCTGGGTGATGCTTGCTGAACGCATGATGCCGCGGGTGGGCTCCTGAGGCTCGGCCAGACCCGGGAAGCCGTCAGGGATCAGAAACTGAGGAGTGAGGTCGCTGTCTCAGGCCACCGGGACCTGCCCTGGAGCGGGGTCCCGAGACCAACCAGAGACGAGGGTCAGAGAAAGTCATCATTGCCATCAGACAGAAACTTATTTTTTTAATGGTGGGGAAGGAGTGTGAACTTGACCCTAAAGGTGGGGAAGGAGTGTGAACTTGACCCTAAAGGTGGGGAAGGAGTGTGAACTTGACCCTAAAGGTGGGGAAGGAGTGTGAACTTGACCCTAAAGGTGGGGAAGGAGTGTGAACTTGACCCTAATGGTGGGGACGGAGTGTGAACTTGACCCTAAAGGTGGGGAAGGAGTGTGAACTTGACCCTAAAGGTGGGGAAGGAGTGTGAACTTGACCCTAATGGTGGGGACGGAGTGTGAACTTGACCCTAATGGTGGGGACGGAGTGTGAACTTGACCCTAATGGTGGGGAAGGAGTGTGAACTTGACCCTAATGGTGGGGACGGAGTGTGAACTTGACCCTAATGGTGGGGAAGGAGTGTGAACTTGACCCTAATGGTGGGGACGGAGTGTGAACTTGACCCTAATGGTGGGGAAGGAGTGTGAACTTGACCCTAATGGTGGGGAAGGAGTGTGAACTTGACCCTAATGGTGGGGAAGGAGTGTGAACTTGACCCTAATGGTGGGGAAGGAGTGTGAACTTGACCCTAATGGTGGGGAAGGAGTGTGAACTTGACCCTAATGGTGGGGAAGGAGTGTGAACTTGACCCTAATGGTGGGGAAGGAGTATGAACTTGACCCTAATGGTGGGGAAGGAGTGTGAACTTGACCCTAAAGGTGGGGAAGGAGTATGAACTTGACCCTAATGGTGGGGAAGGAGTGTGAACTTGACCCTAAAGGTGGGGAAGGAGTATGAACTTGACCCTAATGGTGGGGACGGAGTGTGAACTTGACCTTAAAGGTGGGGAAGGAGTGTGAACTTGACCCAGACACTTTAAATGAATACTCTACTGGTGCTGAAGCTGAAACTCCAATCCTTTGGCCACCTGATGTGAAGAGCTGACTCATTGGAAACGACCCTGATGCTGGGAAAGACTGAAGGTGGAAGGAGAAGGGGACGACAGAGGATGAGATGGTTGGATGGCATCACAGACTCAATGGACATGGGTCTGAGTAAACTCCAGGAGTTGGTGATGGACAGGGAGGCCTGGTGTGCTGCAGTCCATGGGGTCGCAAAGAGCCGGACATGACTGAGCGACTGAAGTGACTGAAATGTCCCACAGGCAGCAGGAGACAGAGGAGGAGACTCAGTCAGAGTGCCAAGAGCCTCTTGTCTCACGGTCAGCTCAGGGAGGCCCCACGACTCCCCCAGGGAAAGTCGCAGCAAGCCCCCAGGTCCAACGGCTCAGGAGACGCCCCCATGGCCAGGGACAGCCTTCAGAGGCCCCTAGGTGGCCAAGGGCAGTGCCCATCCACCTCCACCCCCTGGGGCGCAGTTCTAAACCAAAAACAATCATGTAAAACAACTCTAAAATAAGGGGAAAGAAGCCTAATGAAACCTTTGTTTTCTCCCAAATGACTACCTTAAAGCTTTTTACAAAATATTTTAACACAAAATATTCAATTAGTTTTCAAGTCTCTGGCTTACTCAGCGTGTGTCCTACAAATTTCGCTTGATTTCAGCCCCACGTGGGGCCAGGAAGTCTGGCTTCTTTTCTGGGTTTTCCATAAACCACACTCAACACTCTGGGGGCAAGCAGTAGGCCGGGACCCTCAACTCCTCCAGGGGACCAGAGTTCTGTCCCCTGTGGGGCATCCCTATCGCAGCCCCCGGCTACTGACCCCAACCCGCCCCAGGCTACGGACCCCACCCCGCTCCAGGCTGGCACATGGCTCCTGCTGGGCTGGCGGAACCGCCAGACCGAAATGCTCGGTCAGCCCCAGGGCTCCCTCCTAGTGAGGCTGGCCTGGGACACACGGGGATTCCACAGATTCAGGGCAAGCCAGCAAGAACCTGAGACGCTCTGACGTGCAGCACTGCCCAGCCACTCACCCTCCCAGCATCCAAAGTCACCGTTCAGACCAGGAGGCTCTTAGGGAAGACGCTCGCCACTGAGCTCTGAGGGCAGAAGTGGTTCAGGCGCCAGAACAGAAAGAGTTTCAGCCAGAAGGGAAACACAGCCAGACACATACGGGGGACCCTGCTCACGCTCGTGCGCTCGGTCGTGTCCGACTCCCGCTCGCGCGCGCTCGGTCGTGTCCGACTCCCGCTCGCGTGCGCTCGGTCGTGTCCGACTCCCGCCCACGCTCGCGTGCGCTCGGTCGTGTCCGACTCCCGCTCGCGTGCGCTCGGTCGTGTCCGACTCCCGCCCACGCTCGTGCGTGTTCAGTCATGTCCTACTCTTCTGTGACCCCCAGGACTGTAGCCCACCGGGCTCCTCTGTCCGTGGGATTTCCCAGGTTAGCATACTGGAGCGGGGTGCCATCTCCTCCTCCGGGGGACCTTCTCGACCCAGGATCGAACCTGCATCTCCTGTGTCTCCCTCGTGGGCAGACGGATTCCGCACCACCAGCGCCACCCGGGACGCCCATACAGAGACACTGGGCCTGGAGTCAGACACGCCTGGGCTCAGTGAATCTGGGAGGCTGTCTGACGGCGCTGCACTGACGTCCCCAGCCGGAAAGTGCAGACGATGCGTGTGCCATCGGGCTGGCACTGAGGGTGAGAGAAGGGACACACGCAGGCACGCACGCGTGCACACTGCAGCTGTGGGCACTCCAGTTTTGTGCCAAGAAATGTTTCACAGCCTCTGCTCCAGGCTGGGGCCGGGCAGGGATGGACCCGTCAGGGGGCGAGCGAGCAGGGAGCCAGCTGTGGTTCTCACTCCCACCACGCAGCAGGGGCCCCGATAAAGCCTCACCGCAGTTCTCATCTGGCCTGGGCTACTGTTAGGAGCTCAGTCGTGTCCAACTCTTTGCAATCCCATGGACCGTGTGGTCCCATGGACTGGAGCCCTCAGGCTCCTCTGCCGAAAGGATTCTCCAGGCAAAAATACTGGAGTGGCTTGCCATCGCCTCCTCCGGGGGAGCTTCCCAACCCGGGATCGAACCCGTGTGCCTTACATCTCTTGCACTGGCAGGCCTGCAGTCAGCTTCTATTGATTAAGGAGGCCAAGTGCCCTGGTGGGTATCAGACCCACTTGCTGTCCTCCATGGCATCAATATTCCCACCTCACCGGACTCCACGCTCCCATTGTGATGTCTCTGACCCAGAGCTGATGAGAGGCACACACGGTCGGCTCCGGCCACCCGAGCTGGGGCACTGAACCTCCAGGAGTGAGGCCTGACGGGGCTGTGGACAAGCCTCTGAAGATGCAGCTGAGACCAGCTCGGAGAGACACCCTGTGAGCATGAGGCTGGGGGCCCTCCAGGACACAGCACCCACCCTGAATCCACGGCCTGCCCCCAAGAGGGCCAACGCAGGGAGGGATCTAAGCCCTGGGGAGAGGGAGTGGGCCCGCCCTGATGACAAGGTAAGAGCCGGTCTGTCCTGTCCATCTGTCCAAATAACTCCAGGCTCCCGGAGAGAAGCACTTCTACCAGAGGCTGTAAAGGGCCCTGCCAGCCACCCCCACCATGGCCTCCTGGTGACAGGCCTTGCTGGGGAGCGGGTGCCCTGCCACGTGGCGGGGGCGAGGAGGAAGCGGGCACCAGCTCCATGCACACCCCTAGCCTGTGAGCCCTGGGGGCCAGGCGCCCGGCTCCCTGCAGACCCCACCCCGGCTTCCCCTCTGACACCGGTGGCTCTGGGGCTAGCAGGGAGGCACGCTGTGTTCACCCCCTGCCTGTTCTGTGAGGGGTCCCCCGGAAAGGGCTCACCTGCAGCCCCGGGAGGAGCAGTTTCCCCAGGTGGGGGGGCGTACCCGGTGACTGGACCAAGACCCTGCAACAGGAAGGCGTGCTCAGGGCTTCGGCCCACCGGCGGCTCTGTCTCTCAGGCCCCTGCTCTGGACCAGAGGAGCCCGCTGCGCAAGGTCTCCCCTCCACGGGCCAGTGCCTCCAGCGACCCGTCAGGCCGGGCACAGAGTCCTGGCCCCTTTCCCCGAGGCCGCCATCCACTCCAGCCTCCCCACGGGCTGGGCTGTGGCCCTGGCCCCACGGCTGGCTGGCCCGGCCCTCCCACCGCCCAGACACAGGCCCCTCGCTCTCTCAGGCTTTGGTGCCCGGAGGACCGCACCCCAGACCACTCTGCATTTGCAAGGCCTCCGGAGAGTCCATCTCCGCAGCCCTGCGATGCCAGACCGGTATAGAGGGAGGGGCCGGGGCCGCGCCCTGCGTGGTGGGGGGGGGGGAGGAGGGGAGGGGGCTGCGGGGGAGGATGGGGAGGGGGCTGGGGGCTCAAGAGGCCGCGCCCCTGACGGTCCCCAGAGGCTCCCTCCAGCGGGCAGGGCCGGGGCGTCACCAGGAGCCTCGTCCTGGGCGAGCGCGCGCTTGATTAACTGTGCAAGAAAGCCTTGGGGATTGAGTGTCCATTGACGGCCCTTCTAGGGGCTGCTGGGGGAGACGCTGCCCACAGGGAACCCGGCGTGGCAGCGGGCCCTGCTTCTGCGGTGTGTGCATGCGGGATTCTTGACCGGGACTTGCAACACACGGGCTGGAGTCAGGCTTAGAGTCCTCTAGGGAAACATCTGAGATTCTACTGAAAAACAGCGAGGAGAGAATTCTATGTCCACACCAGGCAGCCTCAAGCTGGAAGGATCTCAGGCCCGCCTGCGTCTATACAGACTGAAGACAAACTTTCTCAAGTGCAGCGTAGACGGGGCTGCGAAGCAGGACCTCTGGGCAGACACCAGAGAAAGCAGTAGTTTTCCAACAGTGTTTTCGGGAGCCCCCGGGGGCTCCCTGGCGCGGAAGAGGCTGCCCGAGGGGTGAGGGGGCTTCTCCCCTGGGCGTCGACGAGAGCATCCCCCTTTAATCCGTTTCACCTCCTGAGCTTCCTTGGGACTTCCTGTGACAGACGCCAAGGAAACTCAGAAACGTGCTGGCCCAGAATGACTGCCCGGCTCTCGCGAGGTCCCGGCAGAGACGGAGAAGCAAGACAGCCTCGGTGGCCAAGTGCCAGCTGGGTACCGCACTGCTGGCCTCCACGTAGGCAGCCGCCAGGACCACGTGGGTGGGGGAAGGGTAACCATGGCAACCTCCCCCCAGTCATCGCTAAGTAATTCCTCCACAATGTACAATCGCTCTGTTTATAGGAAGAATGCTGACCATATATTCTGGTTTTCCATGCACAATACTTCACTAGGAAAGAATGCAGAACCCACCAGAAGGAGCTCACGTTGCACTTTTCCCAGTCAACCAAACCTCTTCCCTAGCCTTGGGGAATGTGACGGATGGGGTTCCACCACGCTGCCTGCACCCGGAGAAGGTGCAGACGGCCCGGCTTCGGGTCCGCCACCCAGAGGAGGGTCCCCACAGGCCAGAGCGCGGGGGCTCCCCACCTGAACCCTCCTGGAGGCACAAGGGGCTGTGGGCTGTGCCAGCTGAGGGCCTGGAGCATGGAATTGGGCCAAACCACCAGGGCACTGGTTCGTCAGAATGAAATTTCAACCCGCTGAAGCAGGAGAGTTTGGCTTCCCGCTGCTGAGGCCACAGATGCCGCGCTGTGTCTGCAGCTAAGCCCTCCCTCCCTGGGAGGCACACACGCTCACTTCCTTGCCACATGAAGTTCAAATTGAGGAGGGAAAGATGAGTTTCAGATGCTCAAAAAAAAAAAAACCTTAGGGCCTTTTCGAGGAAAAGTCAGCCCACTCTGGGGCCTCCTCGGGAGAGGAGTCTCCGCTCTCCGCCCCGGCTCTGACGGACGTGGCCGTCGTGTCGTTGGTATTCCAAACGTGGCCTGTAATTTCCTGCGACCTGGAAATCCAGATGTTCTCCGTTTAGACTTCACTGCTCAGAACAATGGATTTTAGTAAAATGCCCCCTGGAACTTCTCTCGAACTTTCTTTTTAATGGGATGAGCTTGACGGATAAGTGCAGAAATCAGCCAAGTGTGACTTAATGAATGACCACAAGATGGTGCCAGGCGTCACACCCAGGCGGTGGTCGCCATGGATCCCACCTTCTCGCTGGGAGCCCGGAGCCCCTCCCACCTCTGTCCCCTCACCCGGCCCTAGAGCGGCCCCCACCGCCTGTCAGGCTGCCTTAAGTGAGATCCATCTGTGGCTGGGGACACTCCTGTTTCCTTTGCTGTGTAGCCATATTGAGGCCTTTATTTAGAAGAAAAGAAAGTTAGCTTGTTATTTGCAGGGGAAACCTGCCCAGGGTGGCAGGGAGGAGCTCTGGGTGGGGGACCACCTGGGGTGGCCCCTTGGGGGGACAATGACCCCCTCTCCCGCCCATCCTCCATCCATGGCACCAGAGTGTGACTCACGCCGCTGGTATTTGCAGGCTGCCTCCAGCGAGCTGGCGAAGGAATCTCAGCTATTAAAGGCTGTGCTAATTACAAGCACCTCCCAGCAGATGGTCCAGCATGGGTAATCCTCTCCTTTCCCTGCCTCCAGGTTCTACATTTTTTGATGATAGGAGGCAGAGAACTGGTCTACGATTCAAAAGATGAGTTGTCCCCCAGTTTCAAGTGCCCTCCCTTCCTCTGGAGCGTGGACGCCCCACCCAAGCCCCGTCCTCTGCAGAGAAAGTGCCCAAGAGCTGCCCGGGCTTGGCGTCCCCCCTGCCCAGGGAAAGTGAAATGGAACGGTGTTAGTCGCTCAGTCGTGTCCGACTCTTGTGACCCCATGGACTGCAGCCCAACAGGCTCCTCTGTCCATGGGGTTCTCCAGGCAAGAAGACTGGACTGGGTTGCCACGCCCCCCTCCAGGGGACCCTCCTGACTCAGGGATCACACCCAGGTCTCCCGCATGGCAGGTAGATTCATCACCATCTGAGGCACTAGGGCCGGGTCACTAATTCAGTGGACAGCATCAGCCGCTTTCCTATAAAGAAAGCCCTCAGAGCGTGTACAGGAGGGGACGTCCCTGGGGTCCAGTGGTCAAGATTCCACCTCTCAGTTCAGGGGACCCAGATTCACTCTGCTCAGGGAGCTAAGATTACAGGTGCCTCGCAGCCACAAAAGCAAAAAAAAGCATAAAGCAGAAGCAATATTGTAACAAATTCAATAAAGACTTTAAAAGTGCTCCACATCAAAAAAAACTCTTTAAAAAAATAAACAAAGAAAAGAAAAACAACACCAGCTTACAAAAAACTAAAACTTTCCAAAATAACTAAGCCTATTTAACAAAAAATGTGTGGGATCCATAGGAAGAAAGCATTAAACGTTAAGTTCTATAAAATCAGGTGAAAAAGGAAGAGGGAACTCTTTGTGGATAGGAGGCATATTAAATATAAGAATGTCATTTCCTCCTGAAATTATCTATTCTTGGGAACCGAATCCTTATTACAATACCACGGTGGTACCGCAAGAAATTTAAGAAATGATTTTTTTTTAGCTTAAATAAGACAATGACTCCATGAGGACAGACCAGAACTTTTTGTTATGACACTAAAGTCGCCAAAGCAGCCCTGCCCAACCTTAAAGCATGCACGTCTAAAACAGCTGGGGGCTGGAGACATCAGGCCACCAATGGGACTGAGCAAATCCAGAAATAACCCAGAAAGACATGTGGAATCATAGAAGATGATAAATTGGAGGGAGAAGATGGGATGTCCTGTAAATTATGGTCGAGCAAATGACTAGTCATTTGGAGGAAAAAAGCTTAAGGAAGACCTGAATTCCTACTCTCTCCTTCCACCAAAACAAATTCCACAAGGACAGAGTTTTAAACATGAAAAATAAAATGGTAAAAAGTCAGGAAAAACCCACATATGGATTTATAATACAGTCTTGGAGTGGAAAAGACCATTTTGGACTGTACCCCCCCCCAAAAAAAATGCTGATTAATTTGCATACATAAAATGTGAAGATTCTGCAAAGTATACAAATGTGCACACATGCCTATATATACCTGTATATCGTAGAGACACTATTACGTACAGATGAAGGTGTGTGTACGCGTGTGTATGTACACATACACACATAGAGATGTAAATATCTCACATACATATCCAAATTCAAAGATAACCCAGCAAAAAACAAAAACTTGCTACAGGATAGACCAAGGTTCAATTCCTTCATAAACCAAGAGCTTACACAAATCCATTCAGTTCAGTTCAGTGGCTCAGTCATGTCTGACTCTTTGCAACCCCATGGACTGCAGCATGCCAGGCCTTCCTGTCCATCACCAACTCCTGGAGCTTCCTCAAAATCATGTCCATCGAGTCAGTGATGCGATCCAACCATCTCATCCTCTGTCGTCCCCTTCTCCTCCTGCCTTCAATCTTTCCCAGCATCAGGGTCTTTTCAAATGAGTCAGCTCCTCGCATCAGGTGGCCAAAGTATTAGAGTTTCAGCTTCAGCATCAGTCCTTCCAATGAACACCCAGGACTGATCTCCTTTAGGATGGACTGGTTGGATCTCCTTGCAGTCCAAGGGACTCTCAAGAGTCTTCTCCAACACCACAGTTCAAAGGCATCAATTCTTTAGCGCTCAGCTTTCTTTATAATCCAACTCTCATATCCATACATGACTACTGGAAAAACCATAGCTTTGATTAGATGGACCTTGGTCCACAAAGTAATGTCTCTGCTTTTTAATACGCTGTCTAGGTTTGTCATAGCTTTCTCTCCAAGAGCAAGCATCTTTCAATTTCATGGCTGCAGTCACCATGTGCAGTGATTTTGAAGCCCAAGAAAATAAAGTCTGTTTCCATTGTTTCCCCATCTATCTCCCATGAAGTGATGAGACCGGATGCCATGATCTTAGTTTTTTCAATGTTGAGCTTTAAGCCAGCTTTTTCACTCTCCTCTTTCACTTTCATCAAGAGGCTCCTCAGTTCTTCTTCACTTTCTGCCATAAGGGTGGTGTCATCTGCATATCTGAAGCTATTGATATTTCTCCTGGCAATCTTGATTCCAGATTGTGCTTCATACAGCCTGGCACTTCACATGATGTACTCTGCATAGAAGTTAAATAAGCAGGATGACGACATACAGCCTTGACGTACTCCTTTCCCAATTTGGAACCAGTCTATTGTTCCATGTCCAGTTCTAACTGTTGTTTCTTGACCTGCATACAGATTTCTCAGGAGACAGGTCAGGTGGTCTGGTATTCCCATCTCTCAGAATTTTCCAAGTTTGTTGTGATCCACACAGTCAAAGTTTTTGTTGTAGTCAATAAAGCAGAAGTAAATGTTTTCCTGGAACTCTTTTACTTTTTCTATGATCAAACTGATGTTGGCAATTTGAACTCTGGTTCCTCTGCCTTTTCTAAATCCAGCTTGAACATCTGGAAGCTCTTTTGAAGCTTCCAATACATCTGGTTCATGTACTGTTGAAGCCTAGCTTGGAGAATTTTGAGCATTACTTTGCTAGCATGTGAGATGAGTGCAATTGTGCAGTAGTTTGAACATTCTTTGGCATTGCCTCTCTTTGGGATTGGAATGAAAACTGACCTTTTCCAGTCCTGTGGCCACTGCTGAGTTTTCCAAATTTGCTGGCATATTGAGTGCAGCACTTTCACAGCATCCTCTTTTAGGACTTGAAACAGCTCATAAACCAAGAGCTTACACAAATCAAGAAGTCTGCAATTATATGAAAGATGTGAAACCCGACTCAAATTATTTTTGAGCTATTACACTGGCAGAAATGTGAAGGTTTTCAATACCCGGTATTGGCGAAGGTTCAGGAGAAGAAGCAGGCCTGAGGCCATGGTGCGATGCCGAGCCGTGTTCTTGTTGGCAGGACACTCTGCTCCCCCCGATCCACACTCAAAATGCACCTTTGGCCTCTCTGCTGGCAACTCCACTGCACGAATTCACTTACTTTTAAGGAAGGAGGCCAAGATACACACAGGAGAGTGTTCACGGCCCCACTGCTTGTAAAGGCAAGAACACCGCAGGCTACGGGGGCGTTGCCCCAGCACTGAGACATTAGCCGCGGGTGCAGCGCTAGATGCTTCCCTGGGACATGGAGCCCCTCGCCATCCGCCGTGCAGATGAGGAAAGGGGCACAGAGAGGTTGGGTGGTGGCCCAAGGGCACCCAGCAGGTGAGCCTGGCACGTGGCGTAAACCACTCCCTGGCAGCCAGTGCTGTTCTTATCACGGTGGGCATGGGGCGGGGGCTAGGGGGTGCAACCTGGCTAATGGTTCATTTCTTGAAATGATCTGTATCATCTTTGCAAAAACTCTGAGGCTGATCCCGCTTACCTAACCACTCTAACAGCAAATTGCAGGGTGGACCAGACTGCAAAGCAGGAAGACACGGTGACTCTGCTGTGTCCTAAGTGGACCGCCCCATCCTGCAGAGAGCAGGGAGGTGCCGCCGTCCTGGGAGGGAGCCCAGGGCCCCATCCCCCATCCCCGGCTCCGCAGATGCTGGACGAGGGGCCCTTCCTCCCCAAGCGGAGCTGCAGCCCCTCTCGCCTGCTGGAGCCCAGCGGAGCTGGCCGAGCAGACCCCTCCCCTGCATGGAGCACCGCCCCCCAGCGAGGCCAAAGGGCCGAGCGCCTGCACTCCAGGAAGTCGTCTGAGGCCGGCCATGAAGGCTTTGAGGACCCCTCCTCTGGCTTCTGGCTCCAGACCCCACGCCACACGCTGGGCAGAGGGTCAGGGGGACTCTTCCCTCTGGCTGAACCAGAGATTCAACAGGCCCTTGTCTGGCACGTGAGGGGTGGGTCCCTGGGTCACCGCCGGCAGTGTGGAGGTCGCTCAGGGCCAGGGCCTGGGACAATTCACATAGGTCTCTCCTGGCCACATTCTTGGGCCCTCTCACCCAGGAAGGCTCCAAGACCTGCCTTCCTGAAGCCACCGCCAGACCCTCCCCAGGTCCTCATGAGTGTGGGGGCGCCGGGCCTGCTTTAGGGGCCCTAGAAGGAGCAGCCTGGCCTGATGGCAAGGAACACGGGGCCCGCTGTCCAGACAACAGGTCAGCCTTCCCATCGCGCTTGAGTCCCCCGTCCCGGGCGAGGGGCCAGCAGGGGGCAGGGGATGGACTGCCCAGCTGGGGACCGAGAGCAGGTTAGAGTGTGCGCTCCATTGATAAGGGAGTCATTCTCCAGCCTCAGCCTCGCTTCTGGCGGGCCATGGTCCACGGGGTCACGAGAGTCGAGCCACAGTCCACGGGGTCACAGGGGTCAGGCCACAGCCCACGGGGTCATGAGAGCTGGGCAACAGCCCACGGGGTCACGAGAGTCGGGCCATGGTCCACAGGGGCCATGGTCCTGGGCATCTCGGTGGGGCTGCAGGGTCCACAGGGACAGGGGAGCACAGCTGGTCAGTGAGGAAGCCAGGAAGGGGAGCTGGTGGGCCGGGGAGGGGGACAGAGCGGGGGGCATGGCGGAGGGACTCGGGTGGCGTCCAAGGACACGCTCTGCAGGCCCGAGGCTGCGGTGCCGGGGAAGAGGCCTGGGCCTGAAGGGGCCAGCAGACTCGCCCCAGGTGTGCCCTGGAGAGCCCCGGACAGCCGGAGGGACAGAGTGGCCCTGGCTCAGCCTCAGGGCCCATGCCCGTCCCCACGGCCACAGCTGGGCAGCAGCTGTTTGCGGCTGAGCCCTGCTCCACTCATCACACCCACTTTGCTCCCAGGGCTTTTTGCTCCAAATGGTAAATATTTTATTTCCATCATCTGTGAGGCTCCCAGGCAGACGACTCTAATGCAGCATGGAAAAGACCTTTCGCCCCTCGATCCAACACGGGAGTCTGGGAGCCGAGAAGGTGATAGAGGTGAGCAGCCAGAGGGCACGCTTTTGGGAAAACAGCCCGCCTTCATCTGGGCCCGGATAAACCCAGGGAATCGCCCCTCCCTGCCCTGCGGCTGGCAGGCGGCACCACCAGGGTAAGGAAGCAGGGAGTCAGTGTCTGAGTTGGTGTTTCAGCCCCATCGGTGGCCCAGGGTTGGGACACTCCTCCCCAGGACCCCTCCACTGGGTGGAGCACAGGGGTCCCCGCTGTAGACACGGGCAGCCACTTCCCAGCTGGGCGGCCCTGGGGAGGTCGCCTCCCCTCTCTGGTTCCTGCTTTCCCCTCTGTAAACTGGGAGTGAGGGGGAAGCCTCTTCCGTTTGTTGCGAGCACAGAGCCGAGTAATGCTTGTAAAGTGCTCAGCACCCTGCTCGGGCTCTTGCAATAGAAGCGGCCAGAAATACGGACTCTTAGAAATTTCATCCACCCCTTCAGGGAACGAAAACATGCTTGGATTGCTGGTTAGAGTAAGAGCTGCGGGGTACCCCAGAGGCTGCTGACGCGTTAGGGGTGCTCACTGAGCCCCGGAGCAAACCCCACTCCTCTACCAGCACTGTGCACCCCACACTAAAAGAAGATCAGCGTCTTGGGTGTCTCCCCGGGAGCCTGAGTCTGGTCACCGCGCGCCTGCAGCTGCCCTGAGCGAGGAGCCCCCCGCCCGACCCCCAGCCCCACCCAGCGCTGCTTTCCCCAGGCCCCTTCACAAACGCAAGCTGGACAAGGCCTCCACAGTCCAGCCCTGGACCCACCGGCCCCTTAACAGAGATCACACCCGAGAACAGCTGCTTGTAAACGCGGTTTTCATTAATTTCCTGGAAGATGGAGCTTTAATTTCCACATGATCGGTCTTGGGAGACACAGGGAAGGAGGACCCAGCGCAGAGCTGGCCTCCGGGTCCCTGGCACCCTCGTCTGCACTTCATTCCCACATTGTGTGTTTGATCATCTCCAGTCTGGGTCCAATGCTCCGGCTCCTAGGGGAAGCGAGGGGGCAGGAGGAAGGTCCCCACGTGCTTTGTTGAGGGAGGATCCCCCCAAGAAACTTGAACTTGCAAGCAGCTTGAGGCGGGGAGTGTTGAGACCCTGCAAAGGCCCCTCCGATGGATGAAAGTCACGTCATTCTTCTAGAATGCTCTTTGAGCAGTCCCCAAACATCCATTCCAGGGAGGGGACGGCTGCGGTCCAGGGGGCCCGGGAGAGAACACTCAGAATGCGCAGCACAGGCGCATGGCTGGGGGACAGAGTCCAGCCCAGCTCCAAGTGTCTGGAGAACGCCGTTTCCTTGAGGCTCCCCTGAAACCACTCACAGAGGACAGGACACAGGGGTCATATCTGGTGAGAGGCCGGGGCGTGGGCAGGTTGAGCTCATGCGCTGGGCTGCTGGGACCCCGGACACGGAGGAGCTGCCCAGGCCAGCCCCACCGGAGCAGAGAGGCCGAGCCCGCAGCTTCCCGGCCAGCAGGTTGCAGCTGCCGGGTCCCTCGTTGGCCGGAAGCTCCTCCATCCAGCCCCAGCGCAGGGGGGCTGGCCACGGCAGCCCAGGGCCCCCCGTCTCTCCCTCCTGGGCAGTTCAAAGTGCCACTAGAAGACGGTGCCTACGGCCCAGCTGGAAGGCAGGGGGAGCCTGGGCCCGACTCAGCCACCCTGACAGTGTGATGGTTCGTGCGCGCGTTCTGCCGGCCGCAGGTTCCTGCTTCATAAAGTGGGATTTGTAAGGGCATCCGTCTCATGGGGCTGTCACACACGCAACGAGCTGAAACCTGCAGGATGTTGGGAAGCACTCAAGGCAGGCTCAAGCTCTTCAGAAGTGTCGGTTAAATTAAGCAAATGCGTGAGAGAGGAGGCCAGACCCAGGAGGAGGAGGCTGTCCTGGAGGCCGGGGCCCCTCGTCTCCCAGACAGGGAGCGGAGGAGTCGGAGCTCCAGGGCGCAGCAGGTGGGCGGGCATGGCCTTGAACCAGCCACTCTGGGAAGGAGAGAGAGGGCCTGGGTCTGCTCCGCAGGTCGCAGCACCTGTTCTCTCTGCCCAGGGCAGCCCCGCAGGGTGATCGCTACACGGACATCTGTGCCGCTCCCCGAACAGCCCAGGTGCGTCCCGGCCCACAGGTCCTGGTTTTGGACCTCAGAAGGGGTCCCTGCTCCAAAAATCAGGGCGCTAAAGCAGGACCCCCACCCCAGGGTGGCCCACCTACCTCCCCAGACCCACCTGGCTCGCGGGGCCCTGTTCCAGGCTTCGAGGCCGAGGCCCAGCTTCCCCGGGCAGCTCCCCCCCAGAGCACCAGGCCTATCAGCCGGCTCTGCAACCCCGTCAGCTGCTCCCTTCGGTCCCCAAGCATGGCTTATTTTTAAGTGAAAAGATTTACAGTTTTAAGTGCAAAATATCTCAAACACCTCGCCAAGTACAGAGCAGCGCCGTCCAGTGGACCTCTCTGTGACCGGGGGTGGGGGCGGGCGGCCGACCCCTGCTGTGCAGCTTGGCCGCCACTGGACAGACACACAGGCCTGGACCACTGGACGCACGACCCCCACCCCCCCGCCGCCCTGGGGGCCTGCAGGATGAGGCACGTGGGCCAGCACGGCCCAGAGAGTATGGCCCAGACGCCCCAGATCCCAGCATTCGTGGGGTGTCTGCACAGTCCGGCTTCTCCAGACACAGAGCTGGAGGCAGGGGTTGGAAGGCAGGCTGTTCACTTGGAGGATGGAGACGTAATTCAAGGAGGGTTTACTCCCAAAGCAGCGACGAGGGAACGGCAGAGCTCGGATTCAAAGCAGCGACTGCAGTGGGTGCCCTACGGACAACACGGGGCCTGGGGGCTGTCGGCTGAGCCCCAGGGAGGAAGGGAAGCATCTTCCAGACCCCAGGTGGAGAAGCCGGCTTGAGAGGAGACGCGGTCCGTCGAGACGACCGCATGGGTTGGGGGGTCGCACGGCCCGCCTCCTCCCCGCCCTCCTCTTCTCCCCATCAGCTAGTAGCTGAGCCCACCTGGAAGCCAGAGCGTCAGGGGGCCCTTGGATGCAGTCCCCCCAGGACCATCCTCTGGGCAGAGTAGGGGGGAGAAAGAGCCCATGGGCATGGAGGGGCAAGCGGAACACCAGCAAATGTAAACTGGAACAGCCGCCGCGGAGATCTTCAAGCTCCGTGCAGGGTTTCCAGATGACCCAGCTATTCCGCTCCTGGGTACAGACCCAGAGGAACTGGAAGCGGGGACACAGAGGCCCACTGCCGCACTTCCACGGTAGCTGAAGTGCAGACCCGTGCGTCCACCAGCAGCCCAAGGACCAATAAAACACGGTCCATCCTGACTGTGGAACGGTACTCAGCCGTGAGGAGTGAAGCGCTGATTCACGCGACCGCAGGGACGAACTCGAAAATGTGATGCTGAAGGAAGAAGCCAGACAGAGCACAGACACTGCGCGTGAAACGTGGAGAACAGGCAGACTCACAGAGACGGAACCAGAAGGGCGGTGTCCAGGGTCAGGGGCGATGGGGCATGTCACTCAGCAGTGCTTCTGTGGAGGTGATGACAACAGAGTGGCGATGACTGCACGACGTCATCAATGGAACTAACGCCAGTGACTCGTGCATCAGAATGGGGGGATGTTTGGTTTGCAAATTACATCTCAATAATCTTGTTTACTTTAAAAAAAAAAAATCAGACGCGTTCCACACCTCTGCCCTTCGAAACGCATCCAGCCCTGTCCTCCCTCTGGTAGAAAACTCACGTCCCAGCACGGAGGACGGACGGTGCTCCATGAGCCGCCACTTCATCGCAGGCGTGTTTGCAGGACATGCTCCCCTGAGACGTACAACCAGCTGCCCCGAGCACTTTTCCCAAAGGGCGAGTGGGAAGGGGCGGGGGCAGGAGCAAGGTGGGGCGTTCTTCCGCCCCACGTCCCACTGCCCCTTGACCTCTGCGTGACCTCTGCTAGCAGGATGACGCAAGACAGCGCTTGCCAGAGATCCAGGTCCTCGGTGGCCCTGTTTGTTCTCTTCGCTTAGGAGGGATTTCTTCTGTAAACAGCACGGCCTGGGTTTATTATATTTCTCCAATCCATCAATGTCTTTGAACTGGTAAGTTTACAGGTCTATTTGGAATCACTCCATCTTCACTGTGCTTGCTCTTCCTTCTAACCCATCCAAGCTCTCGGACCCACCCTGTCCTGCCTTTCTATGGTCAGAGGATCTCTTCAATTCAAATTTTTCCCCTCTGCTGCTTTTTCTGTTTTATTTGTTTTTAACAGTGGCTCAGATGGTGAAGAATGTACCTACAGTGCAGGAGACCTGGGTTTGAACTCTGAGTCAGAAAGATCCCCTGGAGAAGGGAATGGCAACCCACTCCAGTATTCTTGCCTGGAGAATCCCATGGACAGAGGAGCCTGGTGGGCTACAGTCTGTGGGGTCGCAAAGAGCCAGACACAATCGAATAACTAACACTTCCACATGACTTTATAGGTTTGACGGGCCTACCTCAGTGGAACATTGATTTCTGCACCTTTCTCTGAAACCAGAAGAGAAATCTATAATACCTGCACCCCTATAAACCTGTCCTAGCTTTCTTACTGTCCTTGGCTGGCATCTGAGTTTTACTTTTGTATCCCGCCCAGGAGAGTTGTTTTCTGTAGTCACAGTGGACAAGGCTGGTGTCGGGCTGGGTCTCTTCTTTCTCCCATTTCTTCCGGCAGCAGCACCAGTTGGACCGAATACGTGTGTGTCCGTGCGCCTGTGTGCACGTGTGTGTGCATGTGCGTGCGTGCATGTGTGCGTGCGCCTGTGTGTGCGTGTGTGCGCCTGTGTTTGTGCGTGTGTGTGCGCTTGCGTGTGTGCGCGCGTGTGCGTGTGTGTGTGTGCATGCACACGTGTGTGCCTCTGCAGGCCTAGTACCCCAGAGACACGAGGGCTGCGCCTGGGCGCCCCGCACGCCGACCTCCCAGCACGGCCTGGCCCTGTGTTTGGTAAATACGTGGAAGTCTCTAAACGAGGCCCAGCGAACCCTTCCTTCTGGCACCGCCTTCTCCCTCTGGACCGGCCTCCCTCCGCCTGCATCACTTTCTTTCTGAGCTCTTCCCCTGAGAGTCTGTGGGGTTGCTCCAGCTCACGTCTTGTGCGTCTGATGTTGCCTTCATCGTGGTGGATGGACCAGGAGAGTCACTTGGGGAGCACTTTGGAGTTATTTTCTGCTCCTTTCGGCTTCCCGTTGTTGTCCTTTGAGGGTCTGCCGTCAGCATGGGTGTCTCTGATGAGGAATCGGTCTTTCCCATCTGCCCGACCCCTCAGGACCCTCTCTCGGCCCTGAGCCCCCAGGTCCCGCCTGAGTCTGGCGCGTCTTGCTTCCAGTTACCCAGCTGCCCGACTCTGAGCCGTGAACTTCCTTCTCAGCCGTGAGCTCCGGACCATCCATCTTCTGCATCCCTCCTCCTGCCCCCGGGATGGTGATCCCTCCTGCCCGGAAGCAGGGCCGGCCTGCGTGACTTCCAAGACCTGGTCTCAAAGGTCACTGCAGCCTCCCCAGGCTCTCTGGGGACCTGCCCCCATGCCCCCTTCCCTGGGGACACCCAGGCAGCCCCAGGGAGACCTGGGCGGGGGGCGGGTGGGACAGAGGCCTCATCACACCTCCCTCCAGGACCCCCCAGGACCCCGGCTCAGGCTCAGCCACGCCAGCAGTGCCTCCCCCCACCACTCTAGGACGTGTTCCACTTTTCCTTCCTTTTCTCCTTCGTTCCTTCAGGCCTTTGCAGGGATGTTTCTTACAGTGTCTCCAGAGCTTCTGAGTCTTCTGAAGTGGGGAGGGGATTCAAGTGTCCCATGGGGTAAAGAGCCAGGCCTTGGGCTGGCGTCCACCAGCCACGGCCGCTGAGACTTCCTAAGAATGCGCATGGCCACAGGCTCTGAGCACAGGTGGCTCTGCCCCTCGAGAAGGCACTGCGCCTCTCTGAGCCCCGCTCCCCCGGTGCAGAGCGGAGCCCCTACTCACACAGACCTGCCTGCCTTGGCCCCGAGCCTCCACCTCCGGAAGGTCCTGGAACGCCAGCAGCCCTCGGTCTCACCCTCCCCTGGCTGCCCGGCCCTCTTCCAGGCCTGTCACTTCTAGTCTAGCTCGGCCGCAGTACCGGGCACGTGGGATCGTCCCTGACCAGGGGTTGAAGCCGCGCCCCCTGCACTCTGAGCGCCGCGTCTCAGCCCAGGACCTCCAGGGAAGCCCCGGCCTGTCGCATTCAGGGCACGAACCACTGGGTCAGCAGTCCAGCATTCCTTCCACCCGGGTTTCCTGTTTCATCCCCAGATTCTCAGCATCTCTTTCCTTGTCTTCCTCATGGTGCCCAGTTCTCGTGGGCCTCAGATGACCTGAAAGCTCCCTGTTCCCCCACAGGAGGCCGGGCCAGGATTCTGGGAGAGTCTACAAGACTCCCCTGCCATGGAACTCACGTGGCCATCCCCACAACGAGGGGCACCTCTCTAAGGGGCCTCCTACTGCCGTGGGGCCCCCAGGAATATTTCCATCCCGTCATTATCAGCCATGTGTCCCCCATGCAGGCCGGACAGCGCAGAGGCTCGCCCTCTGTTTTCCGGATGATCTGAGTGTGTTTTCTTTGTGCTTTGGCTGCCGATGGAAGAGCCGGGGGCAAACCCCGCTCTGTCCCTTCATCTGGGACGGGCTTGTGGCGTAAAGCGCTCCTCTGCGCCTCCCCATTCCAGTTACAATCTTCCCTGGCCCTGATCTTGTTTTGTTGTAAGATTTTTTTTTTATATTGTGGGAGAATACACAGAACATAAAATCCACACTGTCACCACTTTGAAGAGGAGACTTTAAGGGCATTTAGAAAGTTCTTGATGTTATGCAACCGTCACCTCCTCTGGTTCCAGACCTTAGCCCTGGGTTGTCCTCCTGGGTCCACACTGTAACACTTCACTCTACGTATTTCCTGAGAGCTGCCTGGGGTGCTCATGGAATGAGGTGAGATTTCCATTAGTACCTGAGCTGGAAGGATGAAGTGCGGGCTCATTGAAACTCCACAGAGTCCTGAGAACGGACAGCTGGTGGCAGAGAGCTGCGGGCTCTTGGGTTAGCATGGGTCGGGTCTTCCAGCTCTTTCTGGGTTTTGGCAACCAAGAGCCTCTTTCCATGGCACCACCGACGCCCAGCTCCTGGTCTCCGGGGCCCCTCACTGGCGGCCAACACCCCAGAGCTGCCCAGGCCGTGGCGCCTCCGTCTCCCTGGGTTACACACATAAGTTTTGTCCCCTTGGCTCTGCGGGTGGGTCTGTGTGCAACACGTACACAACCCCAGAGGGGACAGCCAGAGCTGGCATCCTGGGGGGTCGGACGGCGGCCCCCTGCCTGCGGCCCCTGCCCGCTGCACCGTCGGAGGAGCAGCCCTGGGAGGTCCAACTGCAAACGCCCAGAGGGCAGCGGCCCTTCCCTGCGCTGATGCCCGGGCGGCTGTTCCCGGCCTGGGCATCTGTGCCAAACATTGAATGGAAACATCTGTGGGGCTCTGGCCGCGTCTCACGGCCTGGATTCGCACAGCGCTCAGGGCTGCCAGCGCCTCCGTGCACATCAGGCCGTGCATCTCTGCGGCTTGGCGGCGAGAGCGTGGGCAAGAGGCCCCAACCCCGCCTTCTCCTGCAGCACGTCTGAACCCAGGCTGGCTCCCTGGAGGAGAGGGCACAGGCGAGGCCATGGAGTGGCAATGGCTCCTGACCCTCACTGTCACTCTGCCGCGTGCCGTCCAGCAGGGAGAGCCCACGGGGCCGCGTGAAGCGGGAGACTGAAGAGGAGCCCCCAGCCCACCGCCCTCAAACCTGGCCCAGCCTCTCTCTGTGGAAGGTCCAGTGGGCCGGAAGCAGCTGGACGGCTTGGGAGAATCAGGGGAGGCTTGGGAGCCAGCACGGAGCAGCACCGGGGGCCCTGGGGGCTGGGGTCCAGGGCCTGGGCCCTGGGGTGCAGCTGGGCTGAGACAGGGAAGCTCCCGGGCCCCGCCCTGCAGCAGGGAGACACGAGCCGGGTCCTGATGCTCCTGGCACAGCAGAGGGGCCTGGCGAGGGTCCCCTGAAGGGACCCACAGGCTTTAAAAAGGCCCAGAATGCGGTGCCAGACAGGAAGTGCCCTTATCAACACGTCCACTTGTCCCTCATCCAGCCTTTGCAGCAGAAGCGCAGGTGATGGGAACCAAGGAAAATGATGCCCAAGGGCCTCCAGCCTGGGATGGTCTGCAAGGCAACCGGCTTGCTCTCCAAAGCGTCCATGAGTCAGTGTCCTGGGAAAACATGCAGGGGTGGGGCGTGTTCTCCAGTGAGACAGACCAGAGGCGGAGCCACGTGGGAGACGTGAAATCACGGTCCGCAGTCCCAGCCCCAAAGCTGCAAGGTGCCTCTTTGCACAACGGCGGAAATGACACACGGACCCAAGGGCTGGTTGCTGAGTGCGGAGATGGCTGGGTTCTCGGGCACCAGGACAGCTTTGGGCTCACGCTGGAGCCGGGCCTTGCTTTCAGGAGAGGCGGGCCAAGGTTTGAAGGGGAAGCGTCAGGGTGTCTGCCATTCTCTTTCCAAAGGTCATTAGGCCAGAGAGGAGGAGGAGGAAGTGGAGAGGGAGAGGAAGGAGAGGGAAGAAGGAGGAGGGCCGGGAGGAGGAGCAGGAGGCAGTAGGCCGTCTGTCCATCTGTCCGCCGGGGTCTGGACAGGCGAACACACAGCTGGGGGGCTGGAGCCTCACGCAGAGGGACCGGCTACAGATGTCTGAGTGGGGAGGGGCAGACTGAGAAGAAAGGGCCAGGGGCAGTTGTCACCCCGTCACCAGAGCAGGGCATGCCTGAGGGGCCCTTCCCACCCATGAGGCAGGAGCGCCATTGCTGGGTCCAGGTGGTGGCCGCATGGGCCAGCGTGGGTCTCTTGTCTTTCAATTTTTGTTTGAAATGTTGAATGAAAACTCTCACAATAATAAAAAATGAAGGGTGGGGAGGAGAAGAAAGAAACACAGAGAAGGGGTGGACGCAGCCCCCAGAGCGGAAGGGCACAGAAAGCCCGTCTGCAGGCAGAGAAGGGAGCCGGCAGCTCGTTCCGCCCACCACGGGGGATCCCACAGGCCTGGGGCCAAGCAAAGGGCGGCAGGCGGGCCATCAGCTCAGAGGAGGCCCCTGGTCCTGGGAGGCAGAGCAGGCACCTGCCTGGACCCCTCAAAACCGATGGGCAAAATGTAAGTAACAGGAGTTTCTAGGGGAATAAACAACATTTTGTGCAAAACCAAACCCCCATTAGACACACTTACACTTACTTAACAGGTTGGCACTGCCTTGATTTGGGATTACATGGATGTGGAGGGCTTAGACCCTGCCAGGCCCCAGACCAGCCGCCCCCTGAGGAGCTTGGGTAGCCCCCAGATCTGCTGAGACGGGGTCCCTGGAGACCTGGGCCAGCCCTGAGGCCGTTATGCAAAGAGCAGGAGGACAGGCCAATCCAGGGCCTGGAGCGGCCGCCTGGCCCTGCGGCTGGGCCAGGCCCCGGAGGCCCTCCTCGCAGGCAGGCCCGTGCAGCCCAGCCCACGGCGGGGCCACAGCTCAGGCTTGTGTCTCGGTTGTCTAGCGCCGGGAGTGGTGCCCATCTCCAGCAAAGAGAAGGGACAAAGCCTCATGCCACCAGGCTCTGGAGGATCAGGGAGGGGGGCAGGGGACAAGCCAGTGGAGGGACCGGGAGGGGCCCCCTGAACGCAGGGGAGCAGAAGACCCACTTCACCCACCCCCGAGCCCCGGTGAAATCCAGGGACAAAACAGGCTGAGTGCATCGCTTGAGGCCAAACGGACCCGGCTGGGACACATCATCACCCTCTTCCCGGCGTCTCTGAGCATCCGCTGCTCCGTGAAGGGCTTACTGAGAACACCCATGGCCAAGGACCCTGGGGAGCCGCTGGTGGGGAGGCTTGAACCTACTTTGCAAAGATTTTTTGATGCAGACCACTTTATGACAAACCTAGCAATGGAGCAGAGGCATCACTTTGCCAACAAAGGTCCATCTCGTCAGGGCTCTGGTTTCTCCAGTGGTCATGTGTGGATGTGAGAGTAGGATCACAAAGAAGTCTGATCACCGAAGAACTGATGCTTTCAAACTGTTGTGCTGAAGATGACTCTTGAGAGTCCCTTGGACTGCAAGGAGATCCAACCAGTCCATCCTAAAAGAGATCAGTCCTGGGTGTTCATTGGAAGGACTGATGCTGAAGCTGAAACTCCAGTACTTTGGCCACCGATGCAAAGAGCTGACTCACTGGAAAAGACCCTGATGCTGGGAGGGATTGAAGGCAGGAGGAGAAGGGGACGACAGAGGATGAGATGGATGGCATCACCAACTTGATGGGCATGAGTTTGAGCAAGCTCTGGGAGTTGGTGATGGACAGAGGGGCCTGGCGTGCTGCAGTCCATGGGGTCACAGAGTCAAACACAACGTAGCAAGTGAGCAACAGCACCACAGGAGACCCCGGTTCGATTCCTGGGTCGGGAAGATCTGCTGGAGGACAGATTGCCTGCCCACTCCAGGATTCCTGGGCTTCCCTGGTGGCTCAGCTGGTAAAGAATCCACCTGCAATGCAGGAGACCTGGGCTTGATCCCTGGGTGGGGAAGGTCCCCTGGAGGAAGGAAAGTCTACCCACTCCAGTATTCTAGCCTGGAGAATTCCACGGACTGTATAGCCAATGGGGTCACAAAGAGTCAGACACTGACTGACAGAAATTCTGAGGGATTTTCAGAAAAAAAAAGTCAAACAACAACATTTTCAAAGTCTTTATATTGAATTTGCTGCACTATTGCTTCTGTTCTATGTTTTGCTTTTTTGGCCATGCGGTGTGTGGTATCTTAGCTCCCCAACCAGGGGTCGAACTACACCCCCGGCACTGGAAGGCAACGTCTTCACGGCTGGACCACCAGGGAAGCCCCAGTTCAGTTCAGTTCAGTTCAGTCGCTCAGTCGTGTCCAACTCTTTGTGGCCCCATGGACTGCAGCACACCAGGCCTCCCTATCACCAACTACCGGAGTTTACTCAAGCTCATCGGAAGCCCCAGGGAAAGCATGGATCTCAGGCTTCTGGCGTTCCAGCTGGGCGAGACGGCGATCTGTTGAATGAACATCTTTGCTTCCAGCCTCTCATCCTCTGTCGTCCCCTTCTCCTCCCACCTTCAGTTTCTCCCAGCATCAGGGCCTTTTCCAATGAGTCAGCTCTTTGCATAAGGTGGCCAAGGTATTGGAGTTTCAGCTTCAGCATCAGTCCTTCCAATGAACACCCAGGACTGATCTCCTTTAGGATGGACTGGTTGGATCTCCTTGCAGTCCAAGAGACTCTCAAGAGCCTTCTCCAACACCACAGTTCAAAAGCATCAATTCTTTTGTGCTCAGCTTTCTTTATGGTCCAACTGTCACATCCACACATGGGTTGAGTAGGGTCTCCCCAAAGTTCTGTCCCCTCCGAGCGTCAGATGGGACCTTACGTGGGAATAGTGTCTTGGCGGGTGTGATTAGTTAAGGCTCTGGGGGTGAGATGGCCCTGGATTTAGGGTGAGCCCTTATGGAGGCTCACAGAGAGGCTGACAGAGACAGAAAGCAGAGGGTCCCGTGAGGATGAGCGAAGACCAAGGTGACGTGGCCACAAGCCAGGACCGCCTGGGGCTGCCTGGGCTGGAGAAGGCAGGAAGGTCACTCCCCGGCGCCTCCGGAAGGAGCACGCTCCTTTGAGACTTGGATCTCAGGCTTCTGGCGTCCCAGCTGGGCGAGACAGCGACCTGTTGAATGAACATCTTTGCTCCCAGCCCCTCACGTATGGTCACTTGTTACAGCAGCCCCAGGACACTCACAGGCCACATCAATCAGCTTGTGGGGGAACCCATGCGATGGACATGGGTTTGGGTGGACTCCGGAAGTTGGTGATGGACAGGGAGGCCTGGCGTGCTGCGGTCCATGGGATAGCAAGGAGTCGGACATGACTGAGCGACTGAACTGAACTGAACTACTCAATCCACTACACTTGAAGCTGTCACCTAAAAGTTGAGAGATGGGCTTTATTCGGTGGACGACACAGAGGTGTCAAGCCCAGGAGGGGGCATCTCAGACTTTGGCTCTGAGGCTCCGCTCCCAAGAGGGAAGGGATGAGCCAGGATCTAGACGGGCTTTTGCAACGAAGACCAGGATCCCATGTGCTGTGACCAAGCTGGACAATCCAGCCTGCGGCAACTAAGCCTCAATGCAGCTAAATAAACAAATACTTTTTTTTAAAAAAGAAGAGTTCCAAGTATGTCCGTCCCTGCAACAGCCCATGACATCTCACCGGCCTGGGGGCTGCCTTGCAGGCTGACAGCGCAGGGAGGACACGTGTCAGGCACGACCCCACATCCACGGTCACACACACAGAAAAGGCCCCGAGCGGGAGCAGCACAGGTCATCATAGGAATGAAAATATTCGTTGGTGGAAAGAGCCCGCAGAGACCCGGTGGGCAGGGGGACGTGGCAGGGATGCTGGGGGCCTGGCTGTGGGTGCTCAGAACCCGAGGAGCGGGCAGGAAAGGCGGCACCACCCCCGGGTCCCCAGGACCCCACCTGCGCTGTGTTAAGGTGCTCTCCCCAGAAGGCCCCGCAGAGAGTCCTCTGGGCACCAGGGAGATGCCCCTACCTTGAGCAGACACGTGTGTTAACGTGCGGCCAGTCAGGGAGGAGTTGCGGGTGGGAGGGGCAGGATTTCCCAGGGGAAGGCCCTGGGCAGAGGGCCTGGGAGGTGGGTTCTCTCCACCCACGGGCACCAACTTCACCTGCCCCTCCAGCCCTGACAGCCTCCGAGCACCGCTCCCAGCCCTGGCGCTCACCTGGAGACGCGGTGACCTGTGGGTCCGGCCCTTCCCCACTGTCCTCCCCCGACTCTTCCAATCCAGGCCCCAGGACACCTGTCATCTCACCTGGCCCTCTAGTGAGCTGCCAGGGAGTGTAACCCGCCCCCCAACACACGCACACTCTGCAAGGGGAGGAGACGGTAGCTCTGAGCTGCTGGGCCCCAGGCCTCCGTAGAGATGGGCCACAGGCTCAGGACCCGTGTCCAGGCCCCTTGACCCGAGGCAGCAGCCGCCGGCCCATTGGCAGAGCCAAGAGCGTGCTCTTCAGGGCGGCGGAATGTGTATCTCAGCCTCCGGTCTCCCTGAGGCCTCCGGGCTGGTTTCCTCACCTGGACGGTGGGGACAGGAATGCTGGGAGGGTTAGAGGTGACCAGCTGCTTCCCTGGGCTGGCACAGGGTGGGGATGGGGGGCGGTCAGTAACTGTCAGAACCGCAGCGTCGGGGCTGGAGCCGGGGATCTCAGGACACAGCAGGGCCTGGCCCGAGTCCCTCGAGGCCTGGACTCTCGGCCCAGTGGCCCCAGGGGCCCACCCTGCGTTACCGGCAGCAGGAGCAGGTAAGTCCCTGAGGAACGGGACGGCCTCCCCACACGGCTGGGCCCATTCACAGAGCCTGGCCAGCCTGGTGCGCTGACGGCCCTTGAGCAACAGGAAGGCAGCACGGGGCTGCGGGAGAGTGGACAGCCCTCACCCCTGCCTGCCAGGCCAGGCCCCGGTCCCCCCCCGCCCCCCGGCCCAGATGACCGCAGCCCTGCCCTGCAGCCGGGGCTCCAGGCTGAGCTGTCCCGGGGGCTCCGGTGACATCACCCTGGCAGGGCGGAGGCTGAGAGAAAACAGACGGCGCCCCATCCAGGCCAGGGTCCACCTCAGGAGGCACCTCGCGAGCAGCCCTCCACCAGGGGGGCCCACAGTGACCGGAGGTGAAGGACCACCGTCCCGTCACAGCCCCCACCCACCGAGTGAGCGGTCACTGCTCCCGCTCTGGGTTAGGCCTCGAGGGCGGGTGGGCACGTGTGTGCCCCTTGTCCACCGGCATCTCCCAACCCCAACCCGGAGCCGAGCACAGGGCTGGTGCTCAGGAAACGCCCATGGGGCACAGGATGGCAAGTGCAGCGGTCCCGGAGCCGCGGCTGGGGGTCTGAGGTCCCCGCCCCCCGGCAGGGTCATCAGGGGCCTCCGGAGTGGTGTGCGCAGCCTCCCCGCTCCCGGCAGCCGACAAAGCCCCTAGATTAGATGACTGCATCCACACGGAATGTCCAGGAGAGGCGAATTCCGTCAAGACAGAAAGCAGATGGGCGTGGGGGGATTAGAGGGTCCCTGCTAAAACGTGCGGGTTCTCTTCCAGATGAAGAAGCTGGCCTAAAGCCGAGCATGGTGACGTCAGTGACCACACTCGTGCCGTGACGGACACCTTCAGCGGGAGCTTCGAGCGGCGTGTGAATTCTGTCTCATAAAGCCGTTTAAATTCAGGGTGCCAGTTCCTGATAAGCCAGAGGCCCAGGGCCGCAGGTCTGGGAGCTCAAGGCTGAGGAGCACCCACAAGTAAGGGTCCACCAGGCGGGGGGGCCAGGGGTGTCTCTTTGACCCCCTCCCCCCGGTTTTAAATGAAGCCCTCCCTGTTGTCTATGGAGGTCACAGAGAGCGAGGTTTACTCCTAGTCTGGTTACTCTGATTGTTCCTCCAGAGCTTAGCGGGGTCTCATCTGGTCCTTAGGAGAACCTTAGCCCAGTGAGGTAATGGGCCCCGCGGGACAGGGGACCTGGGGGCCCGCAGATGGGGGCTCTGGTCTGGCTGGAGACCCCGACACCAGCGTGCAGTCTGTACCCAGGACACGCTTGCGGTGGCTCACTGCTGTTTGGGGCTATCCAAGCCTGACTTTCAGACTGGAAGCAAGGCTGTCACACAAATATAAGGTTAATTTGTATCAACGATTTATGAGCTCATTAACACAGGAACCGAAGAGAGGGTGAAACAGTCTGAGGATCAGGACGGGTGAGTTAAAGGTGACACAGAACCAAGGTCCCACAGGCCAGAGAACTGTGACCCCTGGGGGTCAACTTCCGCGACATGCAAACCTATGAGTTAACATAGTCCGGGCTCTTAATTAACAGTAAAGAGCAAAGTTCACGAGCACATTCTCTAGGTAAGAACACTCCTTGCATGCCCTAGAATAATGCCCCAAGATGACTTAAAAAGAATAGCTTTTTCTTTCTTCTTTTCAACCTTTAAATAATTTTCCTTGACATTAAAGAAAATACACATGAATGGAAAGATATTCCACACTCATGGATTGGAAGAATTCGTGTGGTTAAAATGTCCACACTATCCAAAGCAATCTGCAGCTTCAGTACAATTGCAATGGCATTTTCCATAGAAACAGAACCAGCAGGGACTGTCCTGGTCCGGTGGTTGAGACTGTGCTCCCACTGCAGGGGCACGGGTCCATCCCCAGTCAGGGAACTAAGATCCCACATGCCGTGCACAATGATCTAAAAAAAATTAAAATAAATGGTACATTTAAAAATAAAATAAAACAGCAATCATTTTTTTAAAAAAACACAAAAATACCCGGGAAGGTCCCTGGTAGACTAGTGTTAGGATTCCAGGCTCTCACTGCCATGGCCCAGGTCGAATCCCTGGTCAGGCAACATCCCACACGCCTTGTGTCACAGCTCAAAAATACAGTACAATAAAATAACAACCCTAATTTTTTTGAAACCAAATAACTAAAGCGATCTTGTCTTTTCAGATGTGCTGGGTCTGTGGCTGCACCTGGGCTTCCTCTAGCTGTAGCAAGAGGCGCCTCCACTCAGGTGTGGGGCACGAGCTCCTCATTCCGGTGCCTTCTTTCTTGCTGACTCTCAGGCTCGTGGGCTTCTGTAGTGGCAGCACATGAGCTCAGTGATCATGGCTAAGCTGCCCCTCAGCATGTGAAATCTTCCTGGACCAGGGATTAAACCTGTGTCCTCTGCATTGGCAGGCAGATTCTTAACCACTGGACCACCAAGGAAGTCACAAAGCAATCTTGAGAAAGAAAAAAAGTTGGAAGCATCACACTTCCTGCTTTCAAATTATGTTGCAAAACTATAATAATCAAAACAGTATGGTACTGGTATAAAGAACAGACACATAAACCAAGGGAACAGAATTGAGAATCCCCAGATAAACCCATATGTATATTGTCTATCCACTGACAACAAAGAAGCCAAAAATGTACAGTAGGAAAAGGATTGTATTTCAATACAGACAAAGCTCATTTTATTGAACTTCACAGATATTTCGTTTTTTACAAATTAAAGTTTTGTGTCAGGCAAGTGTATTAGTTCCATTTTCCCAACAGCATTTGCTCATGTTGTGTCTGTGTTGCATTTGGGGAATTTTCCCAGCATTTCAAACATTTGCATTATTGTTAGATCCGTTGTAGTGACCTGTGACCTCTGGTGTTACTGTTGTCATTATCTGAGAAGCCATGAGCTGCGCCCGCATCTGTCCACGGACTGAACCAACAAACCATGAGCGCCCGCATACGTCAGTGGATTGAACCGACAAACCGTGAGCACCCGCATCCGACCGCGGACTGAACCGACAACCCATGAGCACCCGCATACGACCGCAGACTGAACCGACAAACGTGTGTTCTGACAGCTCCACCAGCTGGCCGCGCCCCCGTCTCTCTCCCTCTCCTCTGGCCTCCCTTTTCCCCGAGACGCAACAGTAGTGACATTTGGCCGATTAAGAACCTTCCGTGACCTCCAGGTGTTCAAGGGAAAGAAAGAGCTGCTCGTCTCTGACTTTAAATCAAAGCTAGAAACGATGGAGCTCAGTGAGGAAGGCATGTCAGAAGCTGAGACAGGACGGGAGCTAGGCCTCTTCCACCAAACAGTTAACCAAGGTGTGAAGGCCAAGAGAGCCTTTGAAGGAAATTAAAAGTGCTGCTCCAGGGATCACGCGAATGATAAGAAAGAGACAGCCCTCCTGCTGGTACGGAGAAAGTTCGGGTGGTCTGGATAGAAGATCAAATCAGCCCAACATCCCCTTAAGCCAAAGCCTCATCCAGAGGAGGACCCGAATCCCTTCAATTCTGTGAAGGCTGAGCGGGGTGAGGAGGCTGCAGAAGAAAACTCTGAAGCTGGCAGGGTTGGCTCGTGAGGGCTCGGGGGAGAAGCCGTCTCATAACGGACAAGTGTAGCGGAAGCAGCAAGTGCTGACGTGGAAGCTACAGTGAGTCATCAGGAAGACCCAGCTCAGACCATCCATGGGGGAGGCTACACTAGACAGCAGATGTTCAGTGTAGAGGAAACAGCCTCCCCTGGAAGAAGCTGCCATCCAGGCCTTTCGTAGCCAGAGAGAAGTCAGTGCCTGGCTTCAAAGCTTCAAAGGGCAGGCTGACTCTTGTTGGGGGCTGACGCAGCTGGGGGCCTGAAGCTGAAGCTAGTGCTCATGCACCATGTGAAGATCCTGGGGCTCTTATGAATGATGCTGACTCATTCAATGATACTCAGCCTGTGCCCTATACATGGAAAAACAAAGCCTGGACGACCACACGTCTGTTTACAGTATGGTTTGCAGAACATTTTAATCCCATTATTGGGAACTACTACTCAGAAAATAAAAAAGATTCCTTTCAAAATAGGACTGCTCTTTGACAATGCTCCTGGCCACCCAAGAGCTCTGATGGGGTTGATGATGTACAGTGAGATCAACGTTGTTCCCATGGCTGCTAACACCACATCCATTCTGTAGCCCATGGATCATGGAGTCATTTCAATTCTCATTACTTAAGAAATAAATGTTGTAAGGCTGCAACTGCCATAGGTAGTGGTTCCTTTGATGGATCTGAGCCAAGTTAACTAAAAATATTCTAGAAAGGATTCACCCTTGTAGATGCCATTAAAAACATCCATAATTTTGGTAAGATGTCAAAATATCAACATTAACAGGACTTTGGAAGAAGCTGAAGACAGATTTTGGATTTGACACTAAAAGCAAAAGCAACAAAAGTAACAATAAGCAAGTAGAACTACATCAAACTAAACTCTTCTGCACAACAAAGGGAAATATGAACAAAATGAACAGGCAACCTACAGAATAGCAACAAATATTTGCAAGTCATGTATCTGATGAAGGGCTAATAGCTAAATCATGTTAGGAATACATGCAACTCAGTAACAAAAATCAAAAATTTGGCTTAAGAATTGGCTGAGTAACTGAATAGACGTTTTCCCAAAGAAGACATATACAAATAATCAACAAGTACACATAGAGATGTTCAACATCACTAACCATCAGAGAAATGCAAATCAAAGCCGAGATGAGACACCACCTCACACCCATTAGAATGACCATCACCAAAAAATAAGAAATAGCAAACACTGGCAAGGACTTTGGGAAAAGGGAACCCTTTGTAAGGCAATGTAAATTACCACTATCAGTATGGAAAATAGTATAGCAGGCCTCAAAAAATTAAAAATAGAGCTTGAATATGTTCCAGCAATTCTAATGGATGAGTGGGTGGATGGATGGATGGATGGATACATGGAAGGGTGGGTGGATGGATAGATAGATGGATGGGTGGATAGATGAATAGATGGATGGGAAAATGGATGGATAGATGGATGGATGGATGGATGGGTACATGGATGGATGAGTGAATAGATGGATGGATGGGTGGACAGATGGATACATGGATTCAGGACAATATGAAAAAATTCACAGACAAACTGCATAGCCTAGAAATAACAAACAATTTAAGAAAAAGTTATGTATGTCATGAATGCATAAAACTTACGTGGATACTAGTCTATGCTTACCTAGGCATAAGTTAGTGATATTTAATATAAAATAAATGGTGTATTTGTTTTCTTACTGTTTATAACTTTGCTTCCAGAAAACTCGAATTACAGTACAGTGTCCCCCTCTCTCCTAATTGGAGGAACCACAGAAACTGAATATCAACCTATCATCAGGGGTGTTTTTTCCTAATGTAATAGTATTTCAGTATTGTATTATAAATATGACTGTATATAAATATGAATGTAAAACTGTATTTCATAAACATTTTTGGGGGGGACACACCATACGGTTTGTAGGATCTTAGATCCTGAGAAACCTGTATGCAGGTCAGGAAGCAACAGTTAGAACTGGACATGGAACAACAGACTGGTTCCAAATCGGGAAAGGAGTACGTCAAGGCTGCATATTGTCACCCTGCTTATTTAACTTATATGCAGAGTACATCATGTGAAATGCCAGGCTGGATGAAACACAAGCTGGAATCAAGATTGCCAGCAGAAATATCAATAACCTCAGATACGCAGGTGACACCACCCTTATGGCAGAAAGCAAAGAAGAACTAAAGAGACTCTTGATGAAAGTAAAAAAGAAGAGTGGAAAAGTTGGCTTAAAATTCAATATTCAGAAAACTAAGATCATGGCATCTGGTCCCATGACTTCATGGCAAATAGATGGGAAAAGAGTGGAAACAGTGACAGACTTTATTTTGCTGGGGGGACGCCTCCAAAATCACTGCAGATGGTGACTGTGGCCATGAAATTAAAAGATGCTTGGTCCTTGGAAGAAAAGCTATGACCAACCTAGATAGCATATTAAAAAGCAGAGACATTACTTTGCTAACAAAGGTCCGTCTAGTCAAAGCTATGGTTTTTCCAGTAGTCATGTATGGATGTGAGAGTTGGACTATAAAGAAAGCTGAGCTCAGAAGAATTGATGCTTTTGAACTGTGGTGTTGGAGAAGACTTTTGAGAGTCCCTTGGACTGCAAGGAGATCCAACCAGTCCATCCTAAAGAAAATCAGTCCTGAATATTCATTGGAAGAACTGAAGCTGAAGCTGAAACTCCAATACTTTGGCCACCTGATGGGAAGAACTGACTCATTTGAAAGGACCCTGATGCTGGGAAAGATTGAAGGCGGGAGGAGAAGGGGACGAGAGAGGATGAGATGGCTGATGGCATCACTGACTCAATGGACATGAGTTTGAGGGAGCTCCGGGAGTTGGTGATGGACAGGGAGGCCTGGTGTGCTGCAGTCCATGGGGTCACAAAGAGTCGGACACGACTGAGTGACTGAACTGAACTGAACTGAACTGTATGTCATAAACATTTTGGGGGACGGGGACTGTACGGCTTGAGGATCTTAGTTCCCCAACCAGGGATAGGACCCAGGCACAGCAGTGAGAACACTGAGCCCTAACCGCTGGGCCCCCAGGGACTCCCGTATGTCATAAACACCTTACACTGATCCACTCATTCGCGCTGGGCTTCCCTGGTGGCTCAGGTGGCCTGCCGATGCAGGAGACGTGGGTTTGATCCCTGGATCGGGAAGCTCCCCTGGAGAAGAAAATGGCAATGCGCTCCACTATTCTTCCCTGGGAAATCCCACAGACAAGAGGAGCCTGGCAGGCTACAGTCCCTGGGATGGCAAAAGAGTTGGACACAACTTAGCAACTAAACAAAAACAAGCAAAAAAAATCCATGAGTGTTAGGTTAGGCTCTCGCGAAGCGGCTGTGTTGATGGCACGAGGTGACCACAAAGGAATCGACTGTTGCTTTTCTGCTGTCAATGCGTGAATCGTTACACCTATAAATAAATATGAGTTTTTCACATTATCTTTTCATTTTCGATGTCCAATTCTAATAATACATATAACATGTACTGTGCTTTGTCATATAAGACAACGCTGATGTCAGCACTGGCAGATGATTCATCCTGTAAACAGATGATGCAAACTTAGGGTATGGATAAACACAGTCCAGTACTCTAAATGAATTTTCTTTTCCTTACAAGTTTCTTAATGACATTTTCTTTTCCTAGCTTACTTTATTTAAAAAAAGGAAATACCGTATACAGTACATATGATACACAAAATACACATAACTGACTAAGTCATCATATGATTCTGTCAACAGTAAGCTATTAGTAGTCAAGCTTTGGGGAGGTCAAAAGTTACTCGAATTTTTGACAGTGCGGGGGTCGGTACCCCTAACCCCCGTGGTGTTCAAAGGTCAAATGCATTTGAAAAGCAGCCAAAGAAGGAGACAGATTGCTTTCTGGCGAGTAACACGGACGGTTGAGTTGTCCAACGCAGGAATGAAAACCAGAAGCCCGTGAAAGGCCACCTTCGTGACCTGACAGAAAATACCCAGCAAAAATGCTTTCCAAGAATGAGCGGAAAATAAACACATTTTCAGGACAATGAAAGTGGAGAAAGTTACCAGCATCAGACTGTCTCTGCAGGAAATTCTAAAGGGTGGATTCCAGGCATGCCCGACGTGGGTCCAGTGGAAAGATGTTTGTAAGAAGAGATGGTGGACATAGACAGTTGGGTGGAAACATGTGGAAAGTCTAAATGGGCCCTGAATGCATGCAAACAATGATGCCTCGTGTGTCACGAGGATCCAGCCAGGTAACGTTAACACACCTGTCAACCAGGGGCCCGCAAGCAGGAAGCCGAGGGAGCCTTGCTTCCTGCGTCCTCTGACTAACTCTGCTTTGTAAGAAAGCAGATAGACGAGTGTCTCCTCAAATGTGCGACCACCCAAAACCTCAGACTGTGACTCTGGGAAACAGGGTCCGTGCAGACATAATGAGTTAAGGCTGCAGACACGCTCCTTCTGGGTCAGGATGGCCCTCAACCCGATGACTGGCGTCCTTGTAAGAAGAGGAGATGCAGACACAGAGGAGAAGCCACGCAGTGACGGAGGTGGAGGTTCCAGCAAGGCGGCTGCGAGCCTGGAGTCTCCGGGGACTTCACAGGGAAGGAGAGACGGCGAGGACACTGTCAGGGGCGGACCTGGGGCGGGGATGGCTCCCGAGTGTGAGCTCGGGTGTGGACAGGGATGTCTGGGACCCAGTGTCCAGGCTGGGCCTTCACGGCTCACCATGGGGTGTGGGCTCCTGCCGCCCTGGGGGGCTGGAGACTCGACCATCACACGACCCATGGATTCTGATCAGGTGGGAGGTCTGCAGGGGCTGGGGCAGACGCTCCCCAAGGCGGCCTCCTGCTGGGGGGCAGAGCACCCTCTTCCGAGTGTCTGGAGGGGGCACCGGCTCCTCCCAGGCATTTGCCACCTGGGCTGGACCGTGGCTCCCAGGGCAGACAGCAGTGGTGTGTTCTCAGAAACCTCTGGCTCCAGCCGCAGGGGCCTTGGGCCGGTTACTTGATCTCTAGGTGCCTGGGTTTCCTCATTGCAGGCCCCCATGTGAGGAGGGACAGCCTGCTCCATCTCCGCAGACCCGACCAGGGGCCCGGCCGTGCTCTGTGCCCAGGACCTCCCGGCTCCGGCACCCAGAGGCGTCCGTTCTGAGGGCCGGGCGGTGCAGGCTGGACCTCCAGCCCGGGGCCTGCGGCAGCCTTTCCCAGGGAGGTCAGCAGGTGGGAGTGCTGGCCTGCCCCCTCCCTGCTCGGCTTGCAACACAGGGACCTCCCGGCGCCTCTGGGAACAGCTGGGCCCCGTTCCGCCCAGCTCCGCGCTCCGATGAGTCACCCCGCCAGGCCTCCCACAGACCAGCAGGCCAGCCGGCAAGGGCTGTAGCCGCCACGTCCCCACCTCCGCCTTCCACCTCCCGGAGATGGTCTCCCCAGCTCAGGCCCTGCCCTTGGCTGCAGCAGCAGGAACCTGGTGAGCTCTGGGCTCTGAGAGCAGGCAAGAGCCAGGCTGGGTCCAGGCCCCAGGGCCACACCACCTGAACGCCCACCTGCTCCATCCTCATGGGGGCCGGGCCCGGCCAGCCGGCCCCGCACCGAGGAGCACGGTCCTCCCCCAGCACCCCCATCCGAGGTCCAGGCCCGTCCGCCCTCCGGACCCCTCCCATCCTGAGGGCCTTGTGCCCTGAAGCCAGCTCCATCCTCTATCACCAGAAGCTCGAGCGAGTCAGGCAGCTGGCCCCGAGCAACCAGCCCTCAGTTCAGTTCAGTTCAGGTCAGTCGCTCAGTTGTGTCTGACTCTGCGACCCCATGGAGTGCAGCATGCCAGGCCTCCCTGTCCATCACCAACTCCTGGAGCTTGCTCAAACTCATGTCCATCGAATCGGTGATGCCATCCAGCCATCTCATCCTCTGTCGTCCCCTTCTCCTCCTGCCCTCAATCCCTCCCAGCATCAGGGTCTTTTCCAATGAGTCTGTTCTTCGCATGAGGTGGCCAAAGTATTGGAGTTTCAGCTTCAGCATCAGTCCTTTCAATGAACATCCAGGACTGATCTCCTTTAGGATGGACTGGCTGGATCTCCTTGCAGTCCAGGGGACTCTCAAGAGTCTTCTCCAACACCACAGGCGTCTGTTCCCCCCAAACCTCAGGTTGGCGGCCGCCCTCTCCCCTGCGCCTGGGCGCAGAGGAAAGGGCCAGAGCCCACTCCTTGCAAGAAGGAGGAGGCAGCAGAGCAGAGCCCGAGTGAGGCTGGAGCCCAAGGGCCAGCGGCCGCGGGGCCCCCCCGGCACGCAGGCTCTGTGTGGGGCCTGTGGCACGCCTGCAGACAGAGGCCCCGGGGGGGGGGATGGGACCTACCCTGGGGGGTCAGGATCTGCACCTGGACGGAGCATCAGGGGACCCCTCGTGGAGCTGTCTTCCCGGGGGTGGAGATCTCCAGCAGCCTGGCCAGAAGCCCACTCGGCCTGCGAAGAGGAGCCCCTGCAAAGGGCCTGGGGGGGGGTGGTATGTGGGGCTGAGTCAAGGGACAGAGGAGGGGAGGGCGTCAGCAAGAGCCCCTGAGGCGGGAGGCTAATCATTCATTCATTCATTCATTCGAGTGTGTCTGGAGGCCGTGGAGTCCTGGCTACAGGCACACGTGGAGAGGCCTGTCTGACCCCAGGGGGCCTGTTCCCCTGGGGCCATGGTGCAGACGGAGCTTCCGTGGCGAGGCTCCCCAGAAGATGCAGAGGGTGGCGAGGCCAACACCACCTCTCTCCCTGAGCCCAGCTGTGGGGATGCAGATCCGTCCTCCCCACAGGGCTCCCCAGCCCAGCCTGTCTCAAGAGCATATGCTCAGCCGCTTCAGTCATGTCCGACTCCTGCAACCCCACAGACTGTAGCCCGCCAGGCTCCTCTGTCCGTGGGATTCTCCAGGCAAGAATCCTGGAGTGGGTTGCCATTTCCTCCTCCAGGGGATCTTCCTGACCCAGGAACAGAACCCGCATCTCCTGCATTGACAGGTGGGCCCTTTACCTGGGAAGATGCATCGAGAGGATGTGCCTGAAATGAAAACATGATGTCTCACAGAGAAAGGGCTAGAGGGGCCCTCGAGAAAGTTCAATTAATTCCCATAAACTTGAACCTTTGGCAGCAATTTCGTGGAAAAAAAATTCTTTTTAAGATCAAGTTAAAATAAACACCGGTGTTCGAGATCCACATGGCTGAGGAGCTGAGCTGAGCGCCTGGCCCTGAAGCAGGGATTATAAACATGGACACAACCGCAGCAGGGAAGGAGCTGGAACCAAAGTTACCCAGGCTGGCTGTGCGCGCTCACCTGCAAGTTAGTCGTATTGTCGTGGAAGCTCTGCAAAATAGTTTGATTCCACAACTATTTCCGAAAGTAAAATGTTTTCTAAAAATAGGAAAACATAACTGAGCACATTAAAGTGAAATAAAGTACATGTAGTTATAATCTCTGATCCATTACTCTTCTCCGGCATACATTCTAATGTGTGTCGCTGGTGTTTATTCCAATTTGATCTTATTTTTTATGTTTAAAATTTCTGGCAAATCATTCAAATTTATGTGAATTAATTTGAATTCCTTGAGGCCTTCACTAGCCCTTTCTTTGTGGAAAAAAGAAAGTGAAAGTGTTAGTTGCTCAGTAGTATTTGACCCTTTGCGACCCCATGGGCTGCATGTAGACCACCAGGCTCCTCTGTCCATGGGATTCTCCAGGCAGGAATGCTGGAGTGGGTGGCCATTCCTTTCTCCAGGAGATCTTCCCAACCCAGGAATCAAACCCAGGTCTCCTGCCTTGCAGGCAGGCAGGTTCTTTACCGTCTGAGCCAACAGGCAAGCCCGAGTATTTTTATTTAAGAAAATACATCCTTGAAAAATGCTGAGATACCTGAGAAGTTCAGTGCCATTTCTGCAGGATGGAGGATTTTCAAACTCCCAGGTTTTATTTGTTTGATTTTGTTTTGCTGAAACGTGCACATTTTCTGCCCAAATATTCTCTCAGGTGCATCTCTGTTCAGAAGGCCTTTTGTCAGCAGATATATTTATAAGGCAAATTGAAGTGGGTTGTCTCCACATATGACTCTTTTGAACAGCTCTCTCCATTTTGTTCCACCTAGCTTCAGGATATAAATTTATCCAATTAAACCTAAAAGCACCCTCAAAACATTCTCCCCACAAGCACGATTTTCCAAAGCACAGTTGTACAGTCTGAAATTAGATCTAAGGCACTGTCTGAGCCCTCCAGGTAAAAGTGTCTGTTGCCACCTTTGCTTTCATAGCAACAAGCTTCAGCAGCCTCAACTCTGCAAACTTTGTCTTCAATCATCACAACTCTTAAAAGATTCAAAAGCTCACATGCCTTGGCTTCGTTTGTCAAATCCTTTGTTTAAAGCTCTCCAAGCAAATTTCAGTCAATCACAGAAGACTCCTTTTCCAAAACATCCAATGCCATCCCAGATAACTCCTCAATGGCCACAACATTCCTGCACTCGGATGACAAGCAGCAGGCGGAGGAAGCACACACCGATATTCTGAAGGGTTTTTTCTTTAACTGCACGCTGCCTTTGAAACAAACGTTATGGGTCAGTTTATTCTGTGTATTTGTGTGTATATATAAAAATAGATAAATATCTACATATTTGAAGGACACCACCTTCTATATTTATTGGCTGCGCATCAAGCTGCCTTAAATGCAATGAGGAATTTTGTGCAAACCACAGCCAGTTCTCACTAATAATTGGTTTCTTTGTTGTTGTTGTACAGTTGCTAAGTTGTGACCGACTCTTTGTGACCCCATGGACTGCAGCATACCAGGCTCCCCTATCATTCGCTCTCTCCTGGACTCTGCTCAAACTCATATCAATCGAGTCGGTGATGCCATCCAGCCATCTCATCCTCTGTCATCCCCTTCTCCTCCTCCTTCAGGCTTTCCCAGCATCAGGGTCTTTTCCAGTGGGTCAGCTCTTCACATCAAGTGGCCAAAGTATTGGAATTTCAGCTTCAGCATCAGTCCTTCCAATGAATATTCAGGGTTGATTTCCTTTAGGATTGACTGGTTTGATCTCCTTGCTGTCCAAGAGACTCTCAAGAGTCTTTTCCAACACCAAAATTCAAAAGCATCATTTTTGGGGGGGCTCTGTGTTCTTTATGGCCCAGCTCTCTCATCCATACATGTCTACTGGAAAAACCATAGCTTTGGCTTAATTTAGTCAAAATATTGCATGTTTTTAGCAGAGTGCTGTGATCCTCCCAAATTCATCTTCTTGTAATCACTTTCAAAACGAACAAAACTTCAGTGTTGAAGAATCTGTTTTGTTTTCACTGAATTTACACCAGGATTGGCAGTCCATCATATGTTTCACATTTGTTCCAATGAAATTCCAGATGCTTTACCTATAGTCTATCCACTGGATTTTAAAAAATCAAAACATTTTTGGAATTAATTTAACTGATTTCTTGCTTCAGATGACTGATGGAGCCAATCTAAACAGCCATCGCTCAATGGCTTGGAAATTTCTTCTGAGGATGTGTGCACAAGACTCAGGGTGAAAAAAAAACCAGCAAAATTAATTTTGGAGAACAGATGTCCTCTCTGAAGAAAATGACAGGCTTCAGACTTGTGTGTCCTTGTGCTGCAGCTGCACCTTCTCCAGGAGACCGCCCCCTGGTGACCCCCCCTGGTGACCGCCCCTCCTGACCCCCGCTGGTGACCGCTCCCCGGTGACCCCCCCACCGGTGACCACCCCTGGTGACCGCCCCCTGGTGACCCCCCCTGGTGACCCCCCCTGGTGACCCCCCTGGTGACCGCCCCCGGTGACCCCCCTGGTGACCCCCCCCGGTGACCCCCCCCTGGTGACCGCTCCCCGGTGACCCCCCCGGTGACCGCCCCCTGGTGACCCCCCTGGTGACCGCCCCTGGTGACCCCCCCCGGTGACCGCCCCCTGGTGACCCCCCCTGGTGACCCCTCTGGTGACCGCCCCCGGTGACCCCCCTGGTGACCGCCCCCTGGTGACCCCCCTGGTGACCGCCCCCTGGTGACCCCCCCCTGGTGACCCCCCCTGGTGACCGCTCCCTGGTGACCCCCCTGGTGACCGCCCCCGGTGACCGCCCCCTGGTGACCCCCCCTGGTGACCCCCCTGGTGACCGCCCCCGGTGACCCCCCTGGTGACCGCCCCCTGGTGACCCCCCCCGGTGACCCCCCCTGGTGACCCCCCCTGGTGACCCCCCTGGTGACCCCCCCCGGTGACCGCCCCCTGGTGACCCCCCCTGGTGACCCCCCTGGTGACCGCCCCCTGGTGACCCCCCCGGTGACCGCCCCCTGGTGACCGCCCCCTGGTGACCCCCCCTGGTGACCCCCCTGGTGACCCCCCCTGGTGACCCCCCTGGTGACCAACCCCTGGTGACCGCCCCCGGTGACCCCCCTGGTGACCGCCCCCTGGTGACCCCCCCTGGTGACCCCCCTGGTGACCGCCCCCGGTGACCCCCCTGGTGACCGCCCCCTGGTGACCCCCCTGGTGACCCCCCCCGGTGACCCCCCCCTGGTGACCGCTCCCCGGTGACCCCCCCCGGTGACCGCCCCCTGGTGACCCCCCCTGGTGACCCCTCTGGTGACCGCCCCCGGTGACCCCCCTGGTGACCGCCCCCTGGTGACCCCCCTGGTGACCGCCCCCTGGTGACCCCCCCCTGGTGACCCCCCCTGGTGACCGCTCCCTGGTGACCCCCCTGGTGACCCCCCCTGGTGACCGCCCCCTGGTGACCCCCCCTGGTGACTGCTCCCTGGTGACCGCCCCCTGGTGACCCCCCCTGGTGACCCCCCTGGTGACCGCCCCCGGTGACCCCCCTGGTGACCGCCCCCTGGTGACCCCCCCCGGTGACCCCCCCTGGTGACCCCCCCTGGTGACCCCCCTGGTGACCCCCCCCGGTGACCGCCCCCTGGTGACCCCCCCTGGTGACCCCCCTGGTGACCGCCCCCGGTGACCCCCCTGGTGACCGCCCCCTGGTGACCCCCCCTGGTGACCCCCCTGGTGACCGCCCCCTGGTGACCCCCCCTGGTGACCCCCCTGGTGACCCCCCCTGGTGACCCCCCTGGTGACCGCCCCCGGTGACCCCCCTGGTGACCGCCCCCTGGTGACCCCCCCCGGTGACCGCCCCCTGGTGACCCCCCCCGGTGACCGCCCCCGGTGACCGCCCCCTGGTGACCCCCCCTGGTGACCCCCCTGGTGACCGCCCCCGGTGACCCCCCTGGTGACCGCCCCCTGGTGACCCCCCTGGTGACCCCCCCTGGTGACCCCCCCTGGTGACCCCCCCTGGTGACCCCCCCCGGTGACCGCCCCCTGGTGACCGCCCCCTGGTGACCCCCCCCGGTGACCCCCCTGGTGACCCCCCCGGTGACCCCCCTGGTGACCGCCCCCTGGTGACCCCCCCCGGTGACCGCCCCCTGGTGACCCCCCCCGGTGACCGCCCCCTGGTGACCCCCCCTGGTGACCCCCCCCGGTGACCACCCCCTGGTGACCCCCCCTGGTGACCCCCCCTGGTGACCCCCCCCGGTGACCGCCCCCTGGTGACCCCCCCCGGTGACCCCCCTGGTGACACCCCTGGTGACCCCCCTGGTGACCGCCCCCGGTGACCCCCCTGGTGACCGCCCCCTGGTGACCCCCCTGGTGACCGCCCCCTGGTGACCCCCCCCTGGTGACCCCCCCTGGTGACTGCTCCCTGGTGACCGCCCCCTGGTGACCCCCCCTGGTGACCCCCCTGGTGACCGCCCCCTGGTGACCCCCCCTGGTGACCCCCCTGGTGACCCCCCCCGGTGACCGCCCCCTGGTGACCCCCCCTGGTGACCCCCCTGGTGACCGCCCCCTGGTGACCCCCCCCGGTGACCGCCCCCTGGTGACCCCCCTGGTGACCGCCCCCGGTGACCGCCCCCTGGTGACCCCCCCTGGTGACCCCCCTGGTGACCCCCCCCGGTGACCGCCCCCTGGTGACCCCCCCTGGTGACCCCCCTGGTGACCGCCCCCGGTGACCCCCCTGGTGACCGCCCCCTGGTGACCCCCCCCGGTGACCGCCCCCTGGTGACCCCCCCTGGTGACCCCCCTGGTGACCGCCCCCGGTGACCGCCCCCTGGTGACCCCCCCTGGTGACCCCCCTGGTGACCGCCCCCGGTGACCCCCCTGGTGACCGCCCCCTGGTGACCCCCCTGGTGACCCCCCCTGGTGACCGCCCCCTGGTGACCGCCCCCTGGTGACCCCCCCTGGTGACCCCCCTGGTGACCCCCCTGGTGACCGCCCCCTGGTGACCGCTCCCTGGTGACCCCCCCTGGTGACCCCCCTGGTGACCGCTCCCTGGTGACCCCCCCTGGTGACCCCCCTGGTGACCGCTCCCCGGTGACCCCCCCCGGTGACCACCCCCTGGTGACCCCCCCTGGTGACCCCCCCTGGTGACCGCCCCCTGGTGACCGCTCCCTGGTGACCGCTCCCTGGTGACCCCCCTGGTGACCCCCCCTGGTGACCCCCCCTGGTGACCGCCCCTGGTGACCCCCCCCTGGTGACCGCCCCTGGTGACCCCCCTGGTGACCCCCCCTGGCGACTGCCCCCCGGTGACTGCTCCCTGGTGACCGCTCCCTGGTGACCCCCCTGGTGACCCCCCCTGGTGACCCCCCCCTGGTGACCGCCCCTGGTGACCCCCCTGGTGACCCCCCCTGGTGACCCCCCCTGGTGACTGCTCCCTGGTGACCGCCCCCTGGTGACCGGCCCCTGGTGACCGCTCCCTGGTGACCGCTCCCTGGTGACCCCCCTGGTGACCCCCCTGGTGACCCCCCCTGGTGACCCCCCCTGGTGACCGCCCCTGGTGACCCCCCCCTGGTGACCGCCCCTGGTGACCCCCCTGGTGACCCCCCCTGGCGACTGCCCCCCGGTGACTGCTCCCTGGTGACCGCTCCCTGGTGACCGCTCCCTGGTGACCCCCTGGTGACCCCCCCTGGTGACCGCCCCCTGGTGACCCCCCTGGTGACCCCCCCTGGTGACCGCCCCCTGGTGACCGCTCCCTGGTGACCCCCCCTGGTGACCCCCCCTGGTGACCGCCCCCTGGTGACCGCCCCCTGGTGACCCCCCTGGTGACCCCCCCTGGTGACTGCTCCCTGGTGACCGCCCCCTGGTGACCGGCCCCTGGTGACCCCCCTGGTGACTGCTCCCTAGTGACCGCCCCCTGGTGACCGCCCCCTGGTGACCCCCCCTGGTGACCAGCTGGCGCCATGCCCATGGTCACACCCTCTGCTTCCTGTCCACTCAGTGCTGCAGCCACTGCCCCACCCAGAGTCCAATATCCTCACCTATTTCATCCAAGTTAAATGCTCCACTCATGAGAAAAGGAAATCAAAATTCATCGCTTTGTCAAGCGTGATTTTTATGTATCTGCTGGTTGCCTGCTGAATGGGTTTGTTGCAAAATTTTAAAAGTATTACCAAACAATAAAAAATAGCTGCGGTCTGCACCATTCAGAACATGATGAAGCCACGGGGGCGGGGGGTGAAGCTTATCCTGCCACTCCTCCAGGGCACAACCACTCAGCCTTCCTTCTCGGCCTCTCACAGTTTCCTAAAGGTGCAATTTCCACCCACCCCATCCACTGGCTGGCTGGTGACTCTCGCATGTCAGGACCACAGCGCCGCCCCCGCCGTGATCCAGCCTCCGCCTCCACTTGGGGGCTCCCCCTGATAGAGCTTCAAGGAGAATGTTTGTCATCAACTTTGCACGGCTGAGAAGCAGCAGGAGATCAGAGTCTACGATGCTTCCAGGGCAGTGGCAAGCAGCGTGTTAGGAGCGGACTGGAAGGTCAGAGACCCGGAGGTTTTTGGGGAGAAGCGGGTGGGCTGGTCTGCAGGTGATCGGCTCTGGGGAGCACTGCACAGCCGGGGTGGTGAGGGGGGTCAGGATGCTCGCCCGCAGAGGGGTCAGCCAGCCTCTCTGCCCACCACCCAGTGCTTGAACAGCGAGGGCAAGACCCGAGCAGTGTGCTCACAGGCTTGGAGACTCTGCGCCAGCCCACCCACCTGCGGCTCCTCCCACCGACACTGCCGTAGCCTCTGCTGCTGCTGAGCGTGCAGCTGATGTCACACAACTGCCCAGCACCCCCGTGTCAAGGCGAGTCTGTCAAAACCCGTCAGACCTTCCGCCCCGGAGGCAACGTGCCTTCCTGCATTGATCCGTGTTCCAGGAGTGGGCTCATCTCTCCCGTCCGCACGGCCTCTGCCAACAGCACTCGCCAAGACCTCACAGGGCATCTCACTCACCAACACAGGGCCTGGCAGGATGCTCCCCAGGGCCGGCGGCAGGACAACGGGACCATGACCCCGAGACCCACCCGTCCTGTCTTCCTTCCTGTCACCCAGAACCTACCAGGGGGCTGGAATATACAAAAGCCCCTGAGACTCCGTGGTGGCCCAGTGGATAAGTATCCGCCTGCCGATGCAGGGGACACGGGTTCCACCCCAGGCCCGGGAAGATTCCACACGCCGTGGGATAACTAAGGCTGAGCACCGCAGGTACTGAAGCTGCCGGCCCCGGTCCATGCTCCCCGAGAGAAGCCGCTGAAATGAAAAGCCGGAGCAGCGCTCACTGGAGAGCAGCCCCCGCTTGCTGCGCCTAGAGAAAGCCGGCACAGCAACGCAGACCCGGTGCAGCCAAAACAAATGAATAGAAAAATGAAAAGGCTCCTTAGTGTCTTAGCTCCTGCGTCAGCTCGACAAAGGATCGCTTCGGAGCTAGGACACTGTCCTTCTAGATGCAGTGCATAATAGCCAAAGGCTAGAAACAGCCCACGTGTTCCTGTTAGTGAGTGAGAGGCCCTGGGAGGTTGGCAGAGGCTGTGTGCGTGGGGAATGTGGACCCACTCCTGGAACAAGGATCACTGCAAGAAGGCAAGCTGCCTCCAGGGCAGAAGGCCTGATGGGCTTTGACAGAAACAGAAAATGGATAAATAAATGTGGTCTAGCTGTGTGCTGGAGTATTATTCAATCACAAAAAGGGATGAAGTACTGGTCCAGGAAATGAACAGTAGATGAACTATGAAAACATTGCACTCAGTGAAAGCGTTAGGCATGAAGACCAACATCATTGGATCCTACGCACATGAAATATCCAGATTAGGCAGGCCCGTGGAGACAGGGAGCAGACGGGCCAGGAAATGGGAGGAGGGGGAGGACGGGATCATCTCACGGGTGTGGGGTGTTCTTCTGGGGCATTAACAGCGTTTGAGAGCTAGAGAGGGGTGATGGTCCGCCAACCTCAGAAGACCCTAAATGCTGCCGATTTGTCCAGCTCCGCCCCTCACCCTCTGTAGGATGAACGGTCCTGGGCCCCAGGGGTGACACCGCTCCTCCCGGGAAGGCCACAGGGTCCATGTGAACCCAACATGACAGCTGCCACCTGGTTCTCAGTTCCTCTTGGCGGCTGAGCCGAAAGCAGAGAAACAGAACACTGAGGCGCTGCATCGTCAGCCAGCAAACAGTGGGTTTCCACGCTCCCCTCGCCTTCCCCAAGGCAGGGATCACTCGGAAACGAAGCAGTTCACTCCAGGACGGCGCCCCAGCCCTCCGCCCTGCCTCTCGTCAGCCTGTCCCGCCTGCTCCCCGTCAGTCTCTGTTCCTTGGCTTCACTCACTCACCTCCCTGGGCCCTGGTACCAGCCACACTCCCACCACGGAGCACAGGCTGTCCCTCCGCTCCCGAACTCCTGCGCATCCATCAAGCGTGACAGCCTCCCATGCGTGTCTGACTCTCTGCAGCCCCTTGGACTGTAGCCAGCCAGGCTCCTCTGTGCATGGCGTTCTCTAGGCAAGAGTACTGGAGTGGGTTGCCATGCTCTCCGCCAGGGGATCTTCCCAACCCAGGGATCAAACTCGGGTCTCCTGCATTGCAGGCAGAGTCTTGGCCCTCTGAGCCACCAGGGAAGGGAACCTTCCGTTAAAATCTGACTCAAATGCCACTTCCTCCAGGAAGCCCCTCTTCTGGCCCCTGAGATGAGTTCTGGTCCTGTCGCGTCTTCCATGGTCCGGCCCTCCCAGCACCTCTCACCCAGGTATTTGCACTAGGTTCTTAGACACTTGGTTAAATCTCTGTTCTCCACAGGGCTGGCTGCTCTGGAGCAGAAACAAGCTGGGTTTTTTGTTTGGATTTTTTTTTTCTTCTTTCTTCCTCTCTCACCACTGTATTCTCAGTCCTGGGCAAGACACCAGCCCCAAGGAGGAATCCAGCACCTCTCTGCCAGGGGAGGGGGGATGAATGAATGTGTGAATGAAACGCCATGCGCTCTGGACCCCGGGGCCCCCGCCCCCACGGCAAGCTGGGGCTCTCTGCGCCTCTGGCCTCTCAGGAATGCCTTGGCAGCACAAAGAATTCTGCTCCAAACACCAACTGGACTCCTTATCTTCAAAGATTGCACAAAACCCTGGAACTCACTTTAATCCTCCCTCTCCGTTCAGAGAAGGCACACACTCTCTCTGCGGGGGAGGGGCGACCTCGGAATCTCTCGCAGATGCCGGGCAGGGCCGAGCGGGCTCTTCTGAAACCCACGGACTGCGTCTTCATGCCGGTGCCGAAGACCTTCGGGGACACGGGCCGCCCTCCGGAGGCTCGCCACAGCCATTCCGGGGACGGACGTGGCCCGACACGGGACACCATTACCAGCCTTGGATAGAATCCACGTCCCATCTTCTCCAAAACCTTCCCTGACACCCATTTCCCCAACCCCGAGGGCACGTACAGGATTTCATACAAGTCAGCAGCGGTCTGTGCTCCAGCTCCATCGCTCGGCAAGCATTCACCCGCTTACTGAGCTGCAGCCGGAGGGGCTGGGAGGCCAGCGGGCGAGGCGAGGGGAGCAGTGGAATCATTGCCACAGGCGAGGTCAGGCCGTGGGGGCAGTTACATGGGCGACTCCGGAGCTGGACGGGCCTGCAGATCATGGCACCCGGCCCCTGGCCCAGGCAAGGCTCATAGCCAATCACTTATCCCAGAGTCTTGTCCATAAATAAGGGGACAAAACCATTCTTCTTCCATGGAAGCAGCAAACATTTACACTGTGCTTGGCACCTACGAGGCACCTGGTGCTTATGAATGACTTTGTTACGTAACCACTACGTATCCCAAGAAGCAGGCTCAGTGAGGCTACCTGTGTGATCACGGGCCTGGGGCCGGGTTTCTGGCCACAGGAGGATCCTGTCTGGGGCTCTGATTATAATGAAGCCTCTTCTTCAACTACGGAGAGAACACAGACCCGGGATGACAAGCACACAAGTGAGAGAAGATGGGGAGGATCGTGTAGCCACAGGGGGCAAGCGGAGCCCTCCTGGAAACAGACGACCTTTCTGCTCATCGGGAAAGACCTGCTGCTGGGAAAGACTGACGGCAAAAGGAGGAGGCGGCAGAGGATGAAATGGTTGGATGGCATCACCAACTCGATGGACGTGAGTTTGAGCAAACTCTGGGAGATGAGGGAGGACAGAGGACAGTGGTGTCCTGCAGTCCACGGGGTCACAAAGTGCTGAACACAACTTAGTGGCTGAACAACAGCAACAGAGAGACTCAAAGACTCTGCTGTGCGGTGCCTCAGTGCCTCATCGGTGGGGAAGACGAGAGCAACAGCCCCGTGGGTGCACACAGACCCGGGGGGGGCAGCGAAGGTCAGGCGGGAAACACAGTAACTTCACCCTTGGGTATCTTTGCAGAGAGGTTACATGGCCAGGTCCCAGGCAAAGTGCTCCTTCCCTTTTATCTCATGGATCGCCCAACAGCCCAACCTGGCGGGCACCAGAATCACCCCCATCTTACAACGGCAAGGTTCTGAACGGTCATTCACTTGCCCAGGATCACACATGGTGAAGCCAGGGCTTGAACACAGCCCACTGAGCCCAGAACTGCTGTCTCAGGACCACCCACCCAGAAGAGCGGGAACCAGAGCGGAGGCCTGACCCCCACAGTGTTGGGGGGTGAAGCCCAAAACTCTTCGGTGAGAAGGAGCTGGACATTTCACATCAGGTGTCCACCGGCCGCCTCTACTAGATGTTCGATGGACCCACATCTGAGTCGACTTCAGCGTGTCCTCCCAAAAGTGTGGGCTCAGTCATTTACAGCTTTCATCACCCCCAAAATCCCAAGGGAGAAAAACATGCTTCCTTCTGGGAAGTATCAGGCGTCAGTGTCCGTCTGCGGGCAGTAGACCCTCCTTTTCTGCTATAGCCAAGTTCCTGGAGCCTCCAGAGGAAAACCAGTTATCAGGAGAAAAGAACTGACCCCAGCATCCACTCTGCACCCTAACGGATCACACAGATTTCCTGCTTCTGGTTAGCCGTTTACAGCTTCCCCACGCCAGTGGCCTCCAATCAGGGCATATCTTTTCCCTTTCTCCCACTATGAAACTCACCCACTCCTCTGCCTGCCTGAGTCTCTGCCAAAAGGAAAGCTATGATCCCCGACTCCCTTGCTATGATAAGCCCTAAACAAATAGTCTTTGCTTTTCTCATTTCTTTGGCCCTCACTTATTTTCCCTTAAGACACTATGTTAAGAAGGATTCTGAGGCTTCTTCTGGGCTCAGTGACGAACTGACAGTGGCCCGTGGGCCGTGGAAGAGATACTAAGAACCTGCCACTTCTCACAGAAGCCTCCTGCTTCAGCCAGAAAGATGACTCCATGCAAACACCCACCTTCTATCTCCATGATCCCAATGGTGCTGCAGATCAACTTGCAGGAAAGTCAGCTCAATGCAAAGTCATGCTGGGAGCTGATGCCCAACCAGGGACGGTTCCGTCTCCCTTGCAGCTGCGCGGAACCACAAGATCAGGTCTCACCAGTGGGAGGCAAGAGGAAGTGACCTGAAGCATTTCCAGGTCAAAGTGGTCGCAGGCGTGCATGCTGCCATGTTCTCTCTGCACAGGCTTCTGGGAGCTCCATGTGGAGGCTGAATTTGCAAGGAACCGCTGAGAGGCAGCCTGGTCTACTGAGTGGGCGCCATGGTTTGGGGATGCAGCCTGACCACCAGCATTGCCCGCAGGATTAAGGAAGGAAGGAAGGAGGCATCCGAGTGAGCGGAGCAGGCCTCCCCCATCCAACAAAATGAGGAAAATAGAGTCCTGCGTCCAGGCGTGCAGGGATGGACCGCCCTGGCCGCCAGACGGAAAGCTGAGGCTGGGTCATTTTCCCAGAGGTTACGTTTGTCAAGAAGTCAGTATCAGAAGAGGCTTTCACTCATCATTAGCAGTCTTTACCAGGGAAGATAGTGAGGCAGACCAGGAAGTTTATGGAGACATCCTCGCATCAACAAAGCAAGGGGAATCCCGTCAGCATCTCCAACAGAAAATGGGAAGAGGGCTTGGCGAGCTCAGGGCCACAGAGAGCAGGTTCGTGGTGGGGTGGCTGTCACTGGAGCATCCAGGGATGCTGGCATCCAGGCCTGCCCTTCACCCTCCCGGCAAAGGAAGGAACAGACGGGGTAAAAGGGCAGACGGTCAGTGGACGTGGCTTCCTCTGACCTGGGCTTTTGTTCCACACCATCTGACACAGAGGACAAAGAGCCCCAGCAAAGCAGGTGGGGGCCCTAGACGTGCTTGACCTGCAAACCAATCTGGAGACCTCCCACCCTCCAGCTAACCTCCTGGATCCAGGGCAGGGACCAGCACCTCAGACCCAGAGTGGAGAGAGGTGGCCGGGCCTCCAGAGGACACCAGGGCTCAGCTTCCAGACCTCCCGTCATGAAGTTGCCTTGAGACTGGCCCACCTGCTCACCCTGGGCCAGTCTTTCCCTGCGTCCAACAAGGCGATGGAGCAAGGACTCTCTGTGGTCCTGCCCAGCCCCCAGAATCCTATGACTTCACGAGCCCACGGTTATTACCCCTGGGTGAGCTGTCTGGCCCTCAGGACCATGAACTAAGAAGTCAATCCCAGAACCAGGAGGTGTGTGGAGACGGGAGGCCAGCCCAGCTTCGGCACAGCAGAAGCCACCCCAGCCTTACATGGAGAAGCAGGAAACAGACGCGGCTCCTGGGCCAGAGTCTGCTGACCCGGCTGTCACACGTGAAGGCCAGATCTCGGTAGCTCAAGACAATGAGAGTTCACTTCCTATTCTTGTTCAGTAACTTCTAATGACCATGGGGGCGGGGGGCCTGGTTTTCCAGGCCAGGCAGCCGAGCAGGGACCCAGGCTCACAGAGGCTCTGACACAGGCTCTTCCCCAAGTGGTTTCTGGGCCTCAGTGTGCACACGCAGTCAGCACAGGAAGGGAATGTGGGGGGGCGGTGTGGAGGGTTTACGGGCCCCACGCTCCACTGGTCTGACCTTGACCACTTGGCTCCACCCGGGTGCGACAGGGGTGTAGGGAGAAGTCATCATGCCCCTGAGCCTGGTCCCCCAGCGGCCACCCAAGGGACCGTCTTTCCTGGGGGCAACAGGGAAGGTGGTTCCATATGGATGGAGAGCATTAAGTGGGGATAATGTGTGCAAAGGCCGTGGTGGCCCCTGGGAAGCCATTCTGTATGTGTTATCCCAGGTGTCAGACAGAGGGAGGTTATAACAAGGGGATAGTTTATGTTAGAGACAATGAAAGTGAAATCGGCATCCCACGCCCACCACCCGGATTGAGAGGAACGACTTTGCCGTCGCCTGGACCCAGCCCCATATCCTCATCTCCCCAGAACCAGCCTTGTTCAGCCCCCAGCCCTCTTTTCCTTTCATTCCCCCACCTCTTTGTTCCCAGAGCCCAGGGCTGCCTGCCAGCTTTCCAGCTTCGAGTGGGTGGCACCTTGCCTCTCGGCTTCTCCTGAGACGCAGCCTCTTCTGCAGGTTAAGTCTGACATTCATCATGTATCGACATCACGAGAGAGCCTCTGTTTTCCTTGCTGAGTGCTGTTTGTCTATACACACCACGGTCTATTTACCCATTTCCTATGGAGGGACAGTTGGGCTGTCTCTCGCTTTTGGCTGGCGCGTGGCGAAGTCACGAATCTGTTTGTACACATCTCTCGGGGCCCATGTGCGTGCATTTCCTGAGCGGAAGAGCCTTGAGTCAGAGCTTGCAGCAGGCTGGGCTTCAACTGATGAGGCCAAGCATGTCCGGCGGGGCTATCTCGCTGCCCACCTCCCCCAGTAAGGCACCTCCCCCACTAAGGCCAGGGCCCTAGGAAACCCCTCCTGTAGGGGTGTGTCCCTTAAGACACCAACCTCCCACCTGACGCTCATTACCTCCCAGGGAGGCTCACTGGTCCCGCTGGGCGGATCTGGCCCCTGGCAGGTCAGAAGTGGGCCATTTCCTATTGTCCCTCCACTGACCAGGCTGGGCTCTGAGAGGAAGTGGACGTGCCCGGGCGTCTGTCCTGCAAACCAAGGTCAGGCCCTCAAGGTCAGGAGCCGGCTGGGTCCTCGTCATTCACTGCACTGGAGGGCAGGGTCTGCTTTCCCCGCGAGCCCAGGACCAGGCCGAGACGGGCCAGCAGGGCCTTAGGAGGGCCCTCGGAGGACACGGGAAGCTCCGAGGGCTGTGCGTCCCTGGCTGGTGCATAAAAGGAACTCTATTTAAATTCAGGGTGCACATCTCCACG